CACTCCATACTCCCCATTGCCACTTCCAGATCCTTTCTCTGTTGCTGTCATTCAGCAAACTCTCCTCTGAGGTTCACTATATCCAAATATTTCACCCAATCCAGATCTTGGTGGCTATCTACTAACTCTGCCCCCAAGTCATTCTCCCTTCTTTTTCAAGGAGTTTAGTACCTGTTTCATAGTTTTCCTCTCCACTCTTACATACCAGGTGCCTTCAACATGCATGTTGATTTTTCCTCAAGTACCCACACCTACCCATTTCTACCGTGGTGACTTGATGTGGGGATGATCCCTTTTGCTGAAGTAGGGCATTGAATTTTTTTCATCACCACTCTTAGTGAGGGCTAGAGGAGGAGAAGGTGGGGAACATTGATCTGAGGCCTCAGCCTTTAGAGTATATCTCAGAAAACATGATCCTCTTTCTCCAAAGGCTCTCCTGAGAGCAGACTGAAGGAATGTGTCAATAGCAAATGAAAGGTAACCTCTGGCCCTTCCTCTTCTCCTGTTCATAGCTGCCTTGAAAGGAGGAAGGAATTAGGAGAGAGAAGGAAGGAGAGGGAGAGTGGGAGGAAACAAGCACCTACTATGTGCCAGGTCCTCTGCTAATAAGCACTTTACAAATATTATTTCATTTGATTCTCACAACAACCCAGGGGAGAGAGGGCAGGCATTATTTTTTTTTCCATTTTACAGTTGAGGAAACTGAGACAGAATTAATGTGACTTGCCCATAGTCACACAGCTAGCTGATTTTGAACTGAGGTTTTCCTACTCCAGACCCAGCACTCCATGCACTATATCACCTTGCTGTCTCAAATACCTTGCCTCTTTGTTCTGTCACCATACATGGGGTTGCAAAAGCACAGCCCTGGATAATTCCCACCACCTATTTCATACTTACATGCTGCTAAACTATGAAAATTATGCAATTATCCACTGTTGGGCCAGGTACACTACAAATTTATGTTATATAACATTAACTGGGGCGTTATCATGGCAAAATCCTTTTACTCTTTCTTAATCAATTCTCTGTCACACTCTGTTTGAAGTATCTGTTTGAAACCTTTTATTATATCCTCAAATTTCTCACACGATGTCTCCACCAATCCTCTCAGCAAAAGGCCTTACTTTATACTTTACTAAGAACTTAGAGGCTATTTGCCATGAGTTCTATCTTCTCTACATCTCAAAACCCCTTTATCATCCTTTCATTCTCTCTTTTATTACAGTCTCTGATGCAGTGGCCTTACTCCTTGCCCCCTTGATCATGTGTCCTCCTTTCTCTTTCACCAGGTTAACCCCCACAACCATCCTTTCTAACCTTTAATCTTTCCCTTTCTACTGACTTCTTCCCTGCTTAACTACAAAAATGCCCAGATCTCAACATCTTTTAAAAACCGTTATTTGACCTTACTATTCCCTGAAGTTGTCATTCTATATCTCTCCTTCCTTTCATAGTCAAAATCCTAGAAAAAGCTTTCTGCTCTCTTTGCTTCACTTCCTCTTCTATTACTCCTCAATCTTCTGCAAGCTTGTTTCTTACTTTGTTACTCAAACTACTCTCTTCAGAGTTATCATTGAACTCTTAATTTCCAGATGTGGTGGTCTTTTCTCAATCTTCCTCCTTATTGACCTTTCTTACAGCCATGATACTATTTATTACTCTCTTCTTCTGGATACTCTGTCTTATCTGAATTTTCAAGACATTTCTTTCTCTTCATGCTCCTACCAGACTAACTGTTCCTTTTCAGTCTCCTTTGCTTATTAAGCATCCATATCATGCATCTTCATTGCATATCCAGGGCTTTGTCCTGATCCTTCTGTTCTGCTTCTGAAGTCTCACATGAATTCAGTTAGCATCTCCGGTGGATGGCTCCCAAATATACATCTAGTCCTAGGCCCTCTTCTAGGTTCTCATCTCTTTTTTTTTTTTTTTTTTTTTGGTAAGGCAATTGGGATTAAGTGAGTTGCCCAGAGTCACACAACTAGTGAGTTTTATGTGTCTGAGGCCAGATTTGAACTCAGGTCCTCCTGACTCCAGGGCCAGTGCTCTATCCACTACACCACCTAGCTGCCCTGTGGATTCTCATCTTGTGCCACCACCTCTTAGACATTTCAAACTGGATGTCCCATCTCAAACTCAACATAGTCCAAACAGAATTGAGTTCTCTTTAACCTAGCCTTTAACTTCCCTACTATTTCTGCCAAGGATACCACCATCCTTCCAGTCACCTCAGGTCTTGACCTTGAAATCATCTTCTCTTCTCTCTGTCTCTCCCTCCGTCTCTCTTCCTGTCTCTGTCTCTCTGTCTCTATCTTTCTCTGTGTGTCTCTCTGTCTCTGTCTCTCTCTGTCTTCTCAGTCTCTGTCTCTTTCTGTGTCTCTGTGTTTGTCTCTCTGTCTCTCTCTTTCTCCTCCTTTTCTCCTCTCAGTTGCTGATTCTACCATCATAACATCTTTCACTTCCATCCCCTTCTCTCTACTCACATAATCACTACCCTCATTCAGGCCTTCACCACTTCTCATCTAGACCATTACAATAGATGCCTAATTCATTTCCCTGCCTCAAGTCTCTCCTTTTTCCAGTCTATTTTCCACACAGTTTCCAAAATGATATTCCTAAAGCACAGATCTGACCACCTTGCTCTCTTGCTCAATGGACTCCAATAGCTTTCTGTTACCTCCAGGATCAGATCCCTCAGTTTAGCATTTAAAGGCCTCTGCAACCTGGCTCCAGACTACCTTATTTATTTTGTGTATATATTGTATATACTTTTTTTATATGTGTGTGTTATGTCCCCTGATAAGGTGCTAAACTAATTGAGAGCAAGGAGTTTCATGTCCTTATATCCCTAGCACTTAGCACAGTGCCTGGCACATTCAGAACTTAAGAAGCTCTTGTTGATTGAGTGATTCTTCCTCCCATCTTCATAATAATCTTCATAATGCCCAGGTTTGGTCACATGACTCTGCTGCTCAAAAGGCTTCCATAGTTCCTCGTTGTTTACCGAATAAAATCCAAACTCCATAGCTTGACATTCAAGTCTGACTCTAACCTCCCTTTCCAGTCTAATTTCATACTCTCCACATCATATTTTCATACTGAGTACTAGGGATATAAGGACATGAAACTCCTTGTTCTCACCTCAGCTTGCCCTCTTCTGCTTCTGCATTTGTATATCCCTATATCCCATACCTGGAATGGACTTCTTCCAGACCTCTCTGTATGTCCTTCACTTCCTTCAAGGCAGCACTGGTGGTGCTCCTATAGGTGGGTCTTCTGTGAAGTTTCCTGTGATGTCCCCAAGTATCAGAAGGGACCTCAAAGACCATGCATCTAACCCATATCTAACCCATAGATGGCTGAAAATCCTCTCCACCACATCCAGAGGAGGGAGAATCACTTTTCTAGGCAGCTCATTCCAATTTTGGATAATTCTGATTATCAGGAAATCTGTCCATATATCAGGCCTAAATTTGCCTCTTTGCATCCTCTTCCCATTATTCCTACTTCTGCCCTCTGAGGTCAAACAAAAAAAATCTAATTCTCCTTCTAGGCAATAGCTTTTCAAATACTTGTAAATAATTAGCATGGTTTTCCTAAGTCTTTTCTTCACCTGGCTAAACATTTCTAGTTCCTTCATCCACTCTTTATAAAATGACATGATCTCAAGGTCCTTCAACAATCTGGTTTTCCTCTAGCTGCAGAATGTACTTACTGAAATAGTGAGGACCAAGACTGAACTGATACTTTCAAATATGGTCTGACTGGTATCAAAAGGTGATGCCCTCCCTAGTTCTGGCCATTATTCCTCTCTCACTGCTTTGTAAAATTGCTTTAACTATTTTGGCTGCAGTATTACTCTGTGACATTCATACAGAGCGTATAGTCTTCTAAAATCTCTACATCTTCTTTTTCAAACAAGCTGCTATCTGACTTTCCCTCTGCCCTCTTATATTTGTGATCTCTCTATCTACATAAATCTTATCTGTTTCTGTTTGACCTTCCCATCTGTTCTGTAATGGGAAGAATGTTGTATTTGGAGTCAAAGGACCTGGTTCCAAATGACCTCTTGGCTACTCTCTGTGACTTGGTCAAGCCACCTAACTGGAGCCTCAATTTTGCCCTCTGTTAAATGAATGGGTTGAACTAGATGATCTCCCTTACAACTCTATTTGTTGTTGAGTTTCAATCATGTCTGACTCTCTGTGACCCCATTTAGGGTTTTCTTGGCAAAGATATTTGCCAAAAGAGGGGTTTGCCATTTTCTTCCCCAGCTCGTTTTAGATGAAGAAACCAAGGCATATAGAGTTGTGACTTGTCCAGGATGCCATAGCTACTACGTATCTTGAGGCTAGCCTGGCACTGTGTCCACTGTGCCCCCTAGGTGCCACTTGTAACTCTGTACTGTAAATCTATATTCTTATGTGTTTAATTATATTCTAGTAATTTTGTATACATCTATTACTCCTTCTACTAGAAGTCTTTTGAGGGGAAGAATTGCTTAGTACATGGCCTTTGCACATAATAGATATTTAATAAAATAATTGGTTTTTAAAATTTAATCAGATCCTCAGTTTGCAGATGAGGAACTAAAAGGTTGGGTGATTTAACTAGTGTTACACATCTGAATAGTGGAGGAATCAAAACTCACATTTCCCCATTGCCCAACCAAAAACAAACCAAAAAAAAAACCAAAACAAAAAACTCCCATTCGAGTCTTTTTGCTTCAGCACCACTGCTTTTCCTCTGACAGCTAACATCATGTGGTAGAAAGATTTCTGGGCTGAGAGTCTGGAGAGATCTGGGTTCAAATCCTGCCTTTTAAGCTTACTGTCTTGACAAGTAACCCTCTCTCTGCTATTTGATTTCCTCATCAGTAAAATGGAGATTATAGTATCCATGAATTTAGGTGTCATACATTCTAGAGGATTCCTCTTTCTGATGTTTGTGTTAATACTTCATTTACTCATTGTATAATTTTCTTTTTTTTTCTGCAGAATTTTTCTCTTCTAAAATGGATTCCAGTAAAAAGATGGACCCCCCTGCTCCATTGCAAACTGTACAACAAAAGACAAATCCTGATCGTGGTGCTGGAGTATCAATTTATGTCCCAGAACAAGGGGGATACAAGGAAAAATTTGTGAAGCCTGTGGAAGACAAATATAAGTGTGAAAAGTGTCACCTCATTTTATGTAACCCTAAGCAGACAGAATGTGGTCACCGATTCTGTGAAACCTGCATGCATGTCTTGTTGAGGTATGTGTTTCTGGCTATCAACAAAAGTGTTCATGGACTAGATGTTTTTGAGGTAAAGTTTTTCAGTTTCAATCTTTATATACATGCTTTTTTCAATTTCAGCTTTTATACACACACACACACACACACACACACACACACACACACACACATATCTATGCAATCAAATTCTCAGAGACTGCTCCTGGAATTTTTTAGGAGAAATCAATTAAAATATGGAGAAAGACAATGGTTTGCACGATTGAAGATGAGACAAAATTGTCAGTTTTTTAACACAAAAGGAAAAATCTTTATTGAATCTTTTAATTGGGATCTTTCTTATCATCTGTGATGTATCATTGATGAATGTAACCAGTGATATGTCATTGATGAGAGTAACCAGCCTATTTATGAGGTTAGCTTTTGAAATATGAATTGAATAGCCTCATTTTTTCTGAGAATGTAACATGTGTGATGATACGAATGGGTTCACATAGTGATCGTTTATTCTTGAGGCATCATTTTTATCTTTGTAAAAGGTATTTGACTCTTTTTATAGCTATTACAGCTATATCTATATTACATATACCTATGTGTACACACACCTATATAACAAATATTTATAGTTATATTATATATATTTAATAGCCATTTATACATGTGTATGTACAGGTTAATTATAGCTATTAAGAGCATTTGATAAGCTATACATCTTACTCATCTTTGCTGTGTTGGTGGTGCTGCAGGCTGACAGGATTGGCAGTCACTCTAGCTTGCCTTTCTTTCTGTGGTCTGGGGTGCTCTTTCCTTTTTGGATGTGACTTTCTAGCCACCATCTTAGCCCTTCCACTTCTGGTGGAAAGGCCTTCCCTTAAAAACTAGGCACCCGTCTTGGGGAGGGTGGTGGGGAAGAAGGGGGAGAAAAATTTTAAACTCAAAAGTATATGGAAGTGATTGTTGATAAATCAAAATAAATTATTAAAAAAATTAAAAAACTAGGTGCCTCAGTGTTAGCACAGCTGTTTAGCCAGCCACAGTCATGCTTCTGACTCATTTGCTTTAGAAATCCAGGTAAAAGTATTCTCTCTGCCCTGGGAAGTGGTCAAAATGAATCAGTAACTCTTTCTTACTTAACTGAAGTTCCTAGCCAGAGATTGCATCCTGGCAAGATACCACAAATTTTAACTCTATTTTTTCTCCTTTCCCAGGGGTTCCCTAATTGCCACTCTACATTTGAATAATAAAGTACACAAAATCACAGATGTTGAGCAGCTTTTATTACATATAGTGGCTTAAGGGAAAAAAGTAAATATTTAGAAATTTAAACCATTTAAGAAAAGGAATCAAGTCTCCCATGGTCCAGGGAAAATATCAGATTTAAAGCCTCTCAAGGGAAAGGAAAGGAGAGAAGACCAAAAAAAAAAAGAAAGAAAGAAAGAAATTTAAGTCATGTACTGTCTACAGCCTGAGTGGATTTAAGAGACTGGCAACTACCTTGGCACCACTCCACGGAGCCAGGGCCACTTTGCCTTTCCTTGTGCCATCTATGCGGTTGCAGAACAAGATAAGTTGCTGTGAACTTGTCAAAGTCAGGCTTTCCTTCAGGCCACGAGGTCAGGGCAAAACTCCTGAGAGAAGGAAGAGTACATTGCTGGGAGATCTTTGCCTAAAGCCAGCAAGCTTCTTCCTCTAGCTTGCTAATCTGTCCTTATGGATTCCTGAAGCAGGTGTGGCCAAGACAGGTAAATCTCAGAACAAGGGGGCCCCAAGGAGAAATCTATGAAGGCTATGGAGGACAAATATAAATGTGAATCAGTTACCTGTCCATATTTTCAATATTGTCATGTGGGGATGAAGATGAAAGATGTGGGGGAAAGAGAGAAAATTGTCCTCTAAACATGTTATTCAGATCTACTTTTATATTTGAATTTTCTGTGAATAAAAGAATCAGAGCATGTCACATGTAGCCAAGAAAATCACAGATATATTCTATAAATCCTTCATTACCAAAAAATGGTCATGTACCATATGTATGAAATGACATACATATGTACATTCTACTGGAAAATTTTCTTAGTCTCTACCATGATATCTTATATTTCTTGATTTTTAACTGCAATTTTTCTATAAATCTTTATTAAAATTCTTGTTAATAGCAATCTGTCATTCTTTGAATACTTATGTGTATCTAATTGATATGAGTATTCCCTCCCTTAGTGCAGATTGAATGCCTTCTCATCCTGTACAACTCTTATTTATGTCTTCCCATAAATCCTCCATCTACAAACATGTTGGAGGCCTTTCCTTAGCTCTTTTAATATTATGTAGGTAACACTGGGTTAACTGTTTATTGTCTCTCACTCTTGCTACCTGAGCAGCCCAACTCTTTTTCTGCTAATGCATCTCCTGCATGATAAAAAGGTGGCATAAAAGATATCACTGGTAATATGTGCTATTTAATGCATCATATGTCTCTCCATTGCCTTTTAGACCACCTGAAATTTTGATGCTTCTAAAATTGTGGCGTTACCTGACTTGTAGAAATGTAGAATCACTTGAAGAATAATCATGTTTTGTTTCAGGGAGCATCTTTGTATCCTTGAAAGCACCACATTATTTTCCAGACACAAGTCAGCCTGTTCTCTTTCTCTTCATCCTATTCAATGCTGGGTTCATTTTGTTATTCATCTTCAGTGTCTGCCCAAGATCTTTGTATTGATGGACCAGCCCATCCAACTGTGGATCATCGCTTTAGTAATAGGCACTCTTCATCCATTTGCTTTTTCTTGTATGGATTGTTATATTGAATTTTTAAATAGTTGTGACTCTCAGTTAGGAAGCTCTGTGGTGGTATTGTGGGGTTTGATGTGATTGACCATGATACTATTTGAAAATAGGAACATTTGGAGGACCTTAACGTATATATATAAAACCCATCTTCTACTTAGACATGGTACATTTACCAAGACAAAAGTGAATGCCTTTGGTGATTATGCATCTATCTCCCTGTCTTAGACTTCATTTAATTATCAGAGGATTGTTGAACAAAATTATCTTTCTTGTTGTCAACGAATCTTGTGTGAGCTTATAGCAGAATCATGGAAGCCCCTTTGGTGGAGCAGTGCCTTTAAGATCACATTTAATTTTATTGAATCAGATGCTTTTTTTATAATAAGCAAACAATAAGAACAGTGAGATCTTGTATTCTTTGAACTTTTTATCAGTTGGGTAGCTGGAAAGATGTAGTCTGCTGTAGAAAATCATTAGTAAAAGCCTTCCAGTTGCCTTCTCATATCTTCATTGAGGATATGTATGTTAGATCATTCTCATAGATTTTATAAAGATAAGAAAGTAAGCCTATGTATAGGTGAATGGCTATTGGTGCCCTCTCAATTCTTAAATACCTTTTTGTTTGTAAAGCAATCAGTGGTTTTACCCCATCATTTGATAATTCTCCTTTCTTTCAGATATTCAGATAATAACACTCCAAATTATGTTACCTCCAGCACATATTCCTTTGGTCTATACTTGGTTTGTCTCGTTCAGCCCTTCTTCCTGTTTTGCCTTTTTAATGCCATTTCCACTTCCTTAATTAGCACATCAGGGACTGAGATGTTAAAATATAATGGTTTTTATACAGTTGGGGATGAAAAATAATTTGTTATAGAAATGATGACAGATCTCTTCCATTTTTTTGCCTATTTGTTGTCTCCCTTCTGCTTGGGTCTTATGCCAAGATTTCTGCAAATTTGTTTTTCCCCATGTTACTTCTTGCTACTTCAGATTGTAGGTCAGTTAACAACTATTTATTGAGTGCTTACTATGTAATGCCAGGCATTGTTCTAAACACTAACGGTACAAAAAAAAGATCAGAAACATGGTCCCTGCTGTCAAGGAACTCATGTTCTAATAGGAGAGACGAAATGCAAAAATTATGTGTATAAGATATTGTAGTGTAAATGCAAAGTAATTTCATAGAGAAGGCACTAGCATGGTGGCAGGTAGGAGGAAGAGGATAGAGGAGGGAAGAGCCTGGGAAAGTCCTTCTGTAGAAGGTGAGACTTGAGCTGAGTACTGAAGGAAGCCAAGAAATGAAGGTGAGGAAGGAGAGCATTTTGGGCATCAGAGGATAGTCAATGAAAAAGCAAGGTACAGAGTCAGGAGATGTAATATCATGTGTGAGGAACAGTAAGAAGCTGGTGTCACTATATTATAAAGTATATGGAATAAAGTGAAAGACTGGAAAGGTAGGAAGAAATTAGGTTGTAAAAGGTCTTAGATGCCTTAGAGGATTTTGTATTTGATTCTGGAAGTAGTAGGTAGCCACTAGAGTTTATTTTGGAGGAGGTAACATGGTTAGATCTGTGCTTTAGGAAAGTCGCTTTAGCAGCTTAGTGGAGGATAGATTGGAGTGGGGAGAAACTTGAGGCAAGGAGACCCAATTAGAAGGGTGCTATAATAACTTAGGTGTGAGGTGATGAAGGCCTGCACTAGGGTGGTGGCAATGTAAATGGAGACAAAGGGAATGTGTAAGATTTTATGAAGGTAGAATTGACAAGACTTGACAAAAGATTGGATATGTGAGATGATTGCAAGTGGAGACTAGAGAATGACACCAAAGTTTTGAGTCTGGATGACTTGGAGGATAGGATGGTCGTGTTCTCAACAGTAATAGGAAAATTCAGAAATGAGGAGAGTTTGAGGAGAAAGATAGATAATGAATTCTGTGTTGGACTTGCTGAGTTTGAGATTATCTATAGGATATCCAGGTTGGGATATTTAAAAAGTAGTTGGTCGTGCTAGGCCTAGAGGTCATGCTGCCCATAATCATTAACTGTCTTCCATAAGATATTGCAAATTTGTGTTGCTTTGACTCTCATGTCTTTCTGTTTCACAGGGAGATCAAGTGTTTGCTACCAAACAATTTTTAGACTCGGCATTCTTATTGTGATGATTAGAGAGACTAAACTAATGAGAAAATGATGCTCATAGAGGCAGCTAGTTGCAGTGTATGGAGAGCTAGTTTCAAAGTCAGGAAAATCTGGGTTCAAGTCCCATCCCTGACACATTCTTATCGGCGTGTGACCCTGGAAAAGTCATTTAACCTCTCATTGCCCCAGACGACTCTCTAAGACAACAAATGGCCTGTTAGGTACTGATCTACATTGTAGAACAGTTTTCCTCACCAAGAATTTCCTATACCAGTGACATCACAGGTTCCATTTTAAAAAATGGTTGAAGTGCCATTGTCTTTTATATATTTCACTTTCTTTGGTATCAAAGCTCATTTGAATAAGTCAGGTTAGAGCTGTGTAATAGTATATCATATCTTCTCATCTTTATTCTTTTTTCTATTTTTATAATGATTTTGATCTTTGCTCTGACGAGTCAGTACACATAGCACATGACTAATTCAGAAATGACTGCACATCAATTACCTGTAATTTCCTGTCTGTTAAGCTGTAAGTCAGTTTCATTTTTTGTGATGAACTTTGATGATCTCCTTGTTCATCATCTTCTAACTTTCTTCTTGAAGGAAGTACTCAGTATATGTACATAAACTTCTGGGTAGTCTACAAGTCCACGGCTTCTGTTGTCTCTTAATCTTAACCAACACTATCCAGAGCTTTTTACCATCCTTCCTTATGTCCACATTGAAGCTACTGAGCATTAAAAATATTATGTTTATTTAGTTTGGAAAAGTTTTCTAAAGTTCTTCATAGACTTTTTCTGTTTCTTCATCTTCTGAAACAAGTATTTTCATGTTGATCTTTTTGCTCATGTTCATTCATTATGAGCAATACAACTCAAGGTCACTAAGCATCCTGTAAGAGGCAAAATGGTACAGTGGAAGGGATACTGTCCATGGAGTCAGGAAGCCCTGGATTCAGAATCTGGCTCAGCCACCATCTATGTGACAGTGGACCAGTCACTCAAAAGTCTCTCTGCTTAAATTTTCCTTATATATAAAATGAGAAGGCTGCATTCGGTGGCCTCTAGGGTCTCTACTACCCCAAGATTTGTGATATTATAATCATATGAAACAATAATATGATGTTTCCCATTACTTTTGGGTACATGCTAAAACTAATTCTACCATTTTCCTCTCCAAAGACAACCTGTGAATTGTCTTCCTATTAAGTTCCAACTTTCCTGTATCATGAATATCAATATTAATATGCTGTTCTTCCAGCTCTATGTTACTCATTGATTGTTTGACAAGGATCTCACGTTTAGAGTTAAATTAGTATTTCTAGATGATCTAAAAACTGCGTGATTCCTAGCACCCTCTGTCTCCTTTTTCATAACTATATCACTGTCACTGTGGGAGCAGAAGGCTACAACCCAGTACTGAAGACCATTTTTAAAATTTTATTTTTTTGTTTCATGGGTCACTAGAATTCAGCGCTTAGTGATCAACATACTGGACATAAGTTTTATAATACTTTACCATGTTGGTCTTAGTTCAGCTTATTCCTAGGCTACCTAGTTAGTATGGTCCTTAAGAACACAGGAGTACTTCCATTGCCATGTTTAGGTACTGCAATAGAACTTGTGAAGGGAAGGACCCTTCAGGAAAAGAGGAAGAATATCTTGTCTTGAAGAGTTTTTTTGAAGATCACTTGGAAATCATTAAGGTTTAATATATCTGATCTGCTGAATCTATTTACTGTTTAGAAGTATATATGAGACTTGTGGGCTTTGAACCTTATAAATAACCAGGTAAGGGTAGTTATGGAGGGTGTGGTATGGTTTGTTATCAGGAAATACAATGTTTAGTGAATGAATATTCATAAGATAGATAGGTAGATAGATGATAGTAAAACAAAGAAAGCATTTACTATGTACCAGGTACTGTCCTATGGTGTGAGGCAGTACATAAAGAGAAACTTACAGGGGTAGATGGGTACTCACACAACAGAATAGCATCAAGATGACTGTCGAAGCCCGGTTCCAGGAAAAGGTGAAAGCTCACCTATCAGAGTCTGGCTTCCAAAGGTCGTGAGTGTCCAGGGTTCTTGTTGAGGGTGAGGAAGTGTGATGATGGTGTTTTGAGAAGAGGCATCATGGTGTAGAGGTGACCAGGAAGTGATAACCCAACTAGTTAAATAAAGGAGACAAACTCAGAAGGAAAAATAGTAACTAGGTTGTGCTTCCTCTCTAGTCTTTCTTTCACCAGCCCTGATGGCCCTCTTTTTCTGTCTATTGTTTGGGGGCAAGAGAGCACAGAAACATAGGCTTTTAGAATGAGGAGAGATTTTAGAGATCATCTAGTCCACATCTTCATTTTGTAGATAAAGAAGTTGCCCCTAAATAAGAGCATCACTGTTTTGATAAAACTGTTGCTAAGTTTTCATATTCAATTCAACAAATATTCATTAAATGCCTACAGTGTGAAAGGCATTGTGCCAGGCTCTGAGGAGGAGCCCAAGATCCGTAAGACTTGATCTTTCTCTCTCTCTCCTCAAGGAATATATAACTAATTTAATAGAGATATAAGTTATATAAACAGGATAAAGCAAAATAAAATGTGATAAGCCAGAAGAGAAATATAAACAAAATGCTTTGAGAGTTTGAAGAAGGGAGGCTATAATTCCTAAATGGGAGAGTTGAGGAAAATGTCATGGAGAAGGTGGCATTTGAGCAGACCCTTCAAGGATGGATGGGATTTCAACAGGTAGAAATTACTTTGGAGAACTGCATTTCAGGCTTAGGGAATGACAAGGGAGATAGGAAAGTATGCGTGCTTTCAGGGTATTCTAATTTCTCTCCAGCACAAAGTGGGAGATAAGACTGTGAGACTGTGGCAGGCTTCAATACCAGGCTATGTTTTAAAATTTTATTCTATAGGCAATTGGGAGTCATTAAAGCTCTTTGAACAGGGGAATGTTGTGATAAGAATTGTGCATCAGAAAAATCAGTCTGGAAACAGTAAGATATTATTTTTAGAATGTGAGTTGCATTGGGTTTTTTTAATATATAGTAAAGAAAATAGCCATCTGATACAATGTTAAAAATTTTTTTAAAGTAAAGATAATTTACAAGATGGAATGATGCTGGTACTTGACCACCTAAATTCCCTTTCATAGGTATTTAGTTGTGATTTCTGTAAAGAAATATACTTTGATCAGTTTTGAAAGGGACTGATAAAAAGTGCATGGGAGCTAAAATGAATTCTTATTTTTAAAGTTTGCAAACTTTTTTTTAATTGATATTTTTTTCCCTATAGTAGCTCCTCCTCTGCATGGTATCTCATTTTATGCCCAATTCACCTCACAATAGACTTAAATAAGGCTTGCAGTACAAGCAAGACAAATTAGACAATTAAAATTAAGCATAATGATTTTCATTAAGTGGCATCAATTTGAAGGTTGCTTTGTCCTAAAATATTTGTTGAAATTTAAAAAAATAAGTAAAAGTTCAAATTTTAAAGAGTGGTTTGTTGTGCTATAATGTAATTAATCTATGTGTCTTTTCCCCAGTGCTCCAAGTCCAAAATGTACAGCATGTCAAGAAAACGTCATTAAAGATAAGGTATTTCAAAGTTCTTTACAATTACTTTGTGAAAATGTTTTTTTAATAATTTGGTTGTAATTTTTAAATAGAATCTGTATGAAAAGAAATTTTAAAAGATTAAAAGAAAAGTAATCTTTTTTACATTTGATGCCATCTTATATTTTGATTTTACCACAAAATTTTGATTACTCTTATTTATTAGTTTAAATCAACACCCCTCCCATTCAAATTCCAAATCAATTCAAGTATAGGTGAATTTCACAAAATGTTAGAACTTAGAAGGACCTTAGAGATTATATAGCCAAACTATCTCATTTTTCAGAACAGAAGCTTAAGTAATTTGGCCATGGTCCCATATCTAATAAGCAACAGAGCAGGGTATCAGAGCCACATTTTTTTTACCTCATGACTAATATTCTTTCCACCATATTATACTATAAGATCCTTGAGGGCAGGTGTTGTTTAATTTTTATCTTTTTATCCTCAGAGCCAGCTACTGTATCTGATACATAATAGATGATTAATAAATGTTTGTTGAATGAATACTCAATAAGTTTTTATTAAATATCTGTTATATACAAAACACTATCCTAGGGGCTGAGGATTTTTTTTTTGGTCTGGATCAGTTGCAGGGAGTGCTCTGTGAGGAATATCTTCTGCCACTTTCTCTGCAATTTATAGTTTTAGAAACTATAAGGGCACTGAAAGATTAGGTGGCTTGCCTAGGATTTGAACCCTATTTTGTAGCTGGATGGGAGCTTAGAGGTTAGTGAGTCCTCCTTCCCCTTTCATGCAGGAATCCCCATTTAACACTCGAAACAGTCATTCAGCCTCTGCTGCAATGCTTCTAGTGATATACTAAATTTGAAACAATGTATTATATAATTCCAAATATATAAGTTAAAAATACATGCAATTTTTAGTATTTTGAATAAAGATTGATCAAGCCTTTAGAATGCTGTGATCATCAAAAAATAATAGTATAATTATACTCAGGGCCAGAGAGGCATGGGAGGGAGTGGTAAGAAAGGGAATGTTCTGTATGCGAAGTTTTTAAAACTTAAAGAACCTACTCACCAGCCGGAAAAGCAAACCCAAATAAATCTATGAAATGTAAGCATTGTTGTTGTTATTGTGTTATATGGATTCTAATAGTATCTCAGCATAAAGTGAGAGAGAGAAGGACAGAGAGAGAGAGAGAGAGAAAGAAGAGAAAGAGAGAGAGATTTTTATATTAGTAATATGCTAGTTATGCCTCCTCCCTGAATCTGTTCCCATGCAACTGTGGACCCAAAGACCAAATGGTCTTAACACCACATCTCTCAGTCTCTCATTGTCCTTGTCTGTAGAGTGAAGGGGTTGAACTCTATACATGACATCTAAAATGCCTTTCAGCTCCCAAATTCAATTATTGTCACAATAGTCATAATAACCATAATGACTGACTTTTCAGTAACACTTTAAAGTTTGATTCTTACAAAAACCATTACGGTAGATAGTCCCAGTGCTATTTAGCTCCTTTTACAATGAATGAAACTGAGACTATAGAGGTGTAGTGTCTTGTCCATAAGCATAGCTAGTTAAGTGCCAGAGGCTGAATTGTAACCTATTTCTTCCTCTCTCCCAAGTCCACCCTTTTATCTACTATGCTGCCTTTGTAAGATCGATTTTTTTTCCCCAATAAAGAGTCCTGATATGACGCAAGAGACTTAGAGAATCTGTTAAATAGAAGTAAAATTATTTTCTTTATACTTTTGAAGTATCTGCTGTGATGATTTTAGTACCTTAAGTTCATGAGATTTTTAAGCCATATTTACAATAGACCTTTATCTGGTTCTGAAATTCTTTATTTTTAATAATTGACACCAATTTATTCCATTTCTTTCCCAATGAAGTTAAGGAGAAAATTAAAGTTTCATGTGTATTTTTTGATTATCACAGGATCTTCTTTAGTAGACATATAATTAAAACTCTTAGTAACAAAAATCCAGTGACAGATGGTGTCATTAGAAAGCAAGAGTATTTTCCCAATGAATAGCAGGGCCTTATGCATAGTAACTACTCAGTAAATATTTGTGAATTAGTTGAATTCACAGTATGTGAAGTGGTGAAGAATGTTAACTAAGGCTAAAAAAAAAAGAAAGGTAGGAAATTTTTTCTTTTCTAAGCAAAAACTCCATTTTATTATCAGAGTCAGCTTAGTCTTTGCAGTAAATATTTTTAATCGTTTATGATCAGGACCTGTTTCAGAAAGAAATGAATTTTCATGAGCAACTTAACCTTAGTGCTACAAGATAGCAATAAAATAGTAATCATATTTTCATATTTACAAAGCGCTGGCCTCATAATTACCCCCAAATGGAGAGGTAATATAAGTATTATTTCTATTTAATTGATAAGGAATCTGAGGCTCAGAGAAAATAAATGATTAGAGATAACTAGTAAGTGTTAGAGCTGGGACTCCTACTCATATTCTAACTTCAAGGCCAATATTCTTTCCATTAAGTTGTTCTTGTTGTCATCATTGTTCCATTTTCAGTTTCCTTGTTACTTTTATTTACCTCTGTAATATGGAATTTGTTCTTCCACTTCCTCATTGTGTGGTGGAGAATTCCTTTATGATGCTTATGTTAGGAATTGTCACCAACACCCACCCAAGACTAATGTGTACTGTTAGGCTTTTATATTTCTGGGAAACATGCTGTAGCTAAATGCACTGAAGTTTTTTAGTAAGTCAGCTCAATGTAAGGAAGAATTTTTATATATTTAGAGCTATTCAACAGTAAAACAGATTACTTTGTCAGGTCGTAGGGGGCACTTCAGTAGCAGCCAGCTGGCCACTCAGTAAGAATATTGTAAAGGAGATTCATTCATTGAGTCGGGTGTTGAACCGAATGAACCTTTCCAATTCTGATATTTTGTATAATAAGATTCTCTTCCATCTGGTTTTTTGTTTTGTTTTTACAACAAAGCCTATCTCTGCATACCTTACTAGTGCTTTGTTCCTGAAAATTTGGTTATATGTTTGACTACATATTTGAAAAAGTTTAGCAATGTGTTCATATTATATTTGTGTCCTTTAGCTATGTAATGTCATCTGAAAAGTCAATCATGTTGGTATTTTAAATAGCTTACTACTGCCTATGACCAGTTTTCCTTTAGTACCATTTAATAAATTTTCTTAAGATCAGATTATTTTAATTGTGTTCCATAGAAGAAATAGTTCCTTCACTTTGCACAAAAATATCCAGATGATTCTTAACTCTCTCTGTCGTTGTCCACTTCAGAGTTGGTTTTATAATTTCATTAAAAGCTTTTTGCTTCATTTGATGTTTGATGTTTTCTTCAAGTGATGCTAATCCTCTGAAATAAGTGCCTTTCAATTTCAGGTATTTAAGGATAATTGCTGTAAGAGAGAAATTCTGGCTCTTCAAATATATTGTAGAAATGAAAGCAGAGGATGCACGGAACAATTAACCCTGGGACATTTGCTGGTGAGCATTGAACCACCATTATTAAGGTTTATGTTAAGAAGTTGAATTCCTTAACATTAACATCATTTTCAAGTTTGAACAGCCTAAATTGTCTGGAACATAAATATGACTCGGCCACCAAAATTCTAGGTTCACACAGGAGCTGACCTAAGAGGTCCTATTCTCTCTTTGGTCCATTATGCTCCTACCCAGAGTTTACTCTGGAAAATTGCCAATACAGCATATTCTCAGGTTTTCACATATGTGGGTAAAAAGGTAATGCCCATATGAACGCTCAAGATAACAAAATGGAATAGGTGTATAGGACTCAGTGGAGTCCATAAAACATATATAGAAAAAACACATAAAGCATTATTAGTATACTGTTCTTTCAAGTGGGAGAGCATTCCAATATTCTAGTGAATCCCTAGCTATCTCACAGGGTCCTGCCTAGTTTTTCCCAGACTGGTAACACTCCCTATCATATAGATTCCTCCAGAAGACAAACAATCTTTGGAACTGCTGGACTAGCAAACCACATTCCCATTGGACCTAGACTCTCTGACACACTCATGTTAATAGTTGGGGGGTGGCAGGATCCTGATCACTTCCCCCTCTCTCTCCATTAATGGCCTTAGTTCTTTTGGTAGTGCTCCAGATGCAGGGTCCATGTGGATAGTCCTTTTCTTTTTCCATGAACCATGCCATTCAGGAAATCCGTCACCTTCTTCACCTCCTCCAAAAGGTTTGATCACTGAATTCTCAAAGTTGGGGTTATCCGTTATGCAACTCTCAAGGCTGGTACTGCCCAAGAAATTTCCCTTCTCTAGCTAAAAAGATACATTATAAGATTGGGCCACCTACTAAATCAAAATCCTACTTCTTTTATATAGAAGATTAGGAGTCAGAAATATTGTTCCCCTTTAGGCCAAGTGAGCAACCACTTGTCTACGGAAGCCACGCTTCTTCAGTAACTATTACTGCCCAAATTGCTGCCTTCTCTTTAGCTGGGAAAGTCTTCTATTAGGGTTCTGGTCTCTAATCTGTTCTCAAAAAGAGAAACAGAAAGGGAGGAGGTAGCCAGGAATTTGAGATCCCAGAAACTCTCCTCTTAGTCCACTTAGACAAACATACAATTCACCAAGTGCTTCTGCCTCAAAGGCACCATTAACTGTTAACCTGTAACTCTACCCCAGGCATCACTCTGAAAGAAAAACACAATAAGAAATGGTGAAAAAGGACTGGGCAAGTCTATCATCTCACCTTTATAGACCAGTACAGAAGAATGCCACCTCCCCTCTCACCAGAGTCCCAGCCAATTAAATGATGAAAAACCAATCAATCATGATCTTTGTTCTCTTCACAAGGTGCAAGTTACCAGTAGGTATATCCATTCTCTAGAGGGGGCTAGGTTTACTCATCAAATTGGGAATTCTTATCATCACCTCTGCCTCATATAAGACCATGTCTATACTGACCTATCAAAAACAAAACCAAAATGTCAAACAGTCAGGGTCGCTTTCATTTAAAATGTTGTTTCCCATGACATTAAGACCCGAACTGTCAGCAAGTTTGAGTCGTCCACCACGCTGAATCTAAGAGGCTGTAGTGACACTGTTTATTCCCACTGCAGTGACACAGTAATGGCTCACATTTATATGGTGACTGACAGCTTACAGAATGCTTTCCTTGCTGCAGTCCTGCGCTATAGGGCAATGGTATGTCTCATCCTGGTTTTACAGGGAAATGAAATGAAGTGAAGTGACTTGTTCCAGGTCATATAACAGTGAATTTAGAATTCCAACCCACGTCTGCTAACTCCAAGAATGGTGTCCTTGCTACCACCCTATACTGCCCCTAACGTAGTTTACTTGATGTATAAATTATATGGTCATAGTTTATCTTTTCTCCCCTTCCTTCCCCTCCCAAATGTTTATTTTTAAAAGTATATATTCTTCGCCAAAAAAAGTATATGTTCTTTCTCCTTCCCATCGCCTCCCCCAATCCGCATTGAACAATACCAAAAAATGAAAAAATAAAACCCTTTTAACTAATATGTATAGTCTAGCAAAACAAATTCTCACATTGGCCATGTCTAAAAACATATGTTATATTCTACATTTTAATCCTTCATCTGTCTGGCAGGAGGTAGGTGGTATGTTTTGTCTTTAGTCATCTGTGCTCATGGTTTGCCATCGCATTGAAAAGAGTTCTAAAGTTTTTCAAAGTTGCTTTTTTCTGTTTTTACTCTTGTGTTACACTGGTTCTCCTTCTCTCTTTATCAGTTCATAGAGGTCTCCTCAGTTTACTCTGAAACTGTCCATTTTGTTATTTCATATGGCATAATATTCCATTACATTCATATACAATAATCTTTTTTAGCTCCCAGTTTTTGACTACTATGAAAATAAGCAACTATAAATATTTTTGTATGTATAAATCCTTTTCCTTTTTCTTTGATCTCTTTGCACTCTGGGCCAGGTAATAGTATAGCTAGGTCAAAGGGTGTGTAGTTTAATAACTTTCTGAGCAGAGTTCCAAATTAACTTTTATTTTCAAAGAAATATTGAACAAGTTTTAAATTTCATAAAAATTTTCAAAATTTTGAAACGCTTAGAAAGAAATCTGCATTGTTATATTTGCATTAATTTTTTCGGAATCTATTTTCAATGACAGTTACAGAGTGTTAGAGTTCACCCATTTAATCCCCTCCTCTTTGATGTAGAAACTGAAGTACATCCCTGAAAGGCTTCATGAAAATGCTGATTATTTAATTTCTCATTAATTATAAAATTAATTTAATATTTTCTTTTAAGATGTGTTTCTCAAGCTAATTTGACCACATGGCAATTTGTGGCTTGAAATGTACTTGCAGAATCTCTGAACTTTGGCTTGAGGGGCATAGATATATGCTATACCCCCAGAATAAAGGGAGATTTAGAATATTTGAGGGTAAAAAAGTTGAAATTAATCTTATTTACATACTAAAAATGTCACTTAAAGTATTGTTATTAATATATAATTTCATATTAAATTTTTAAAAGAAGAAAATATCACTATTATAGAAGTTTTCTCAGAACTCCCATTTACGTTGTATAGAGAACTAGGGTTCCCTCAAATACAGGTTGGGAAATGCCACCTTAAGATTAGTTAAACTGGAATGTAGTAACCAAGTAAGTAAGGTCTGTAGCTTCCCACCCCAGAAGGTTGCCTGGAATGTTGTCTGCAGAGTTCTTCAGGCACAATTTAGCTTAAGAATAATTCTCAAACACAATATGGAAGTCATTGCCTCTGTTCAATCTGTTACTCTTTGCAGCTGTACACAGATGTGATGGTAAGTATTGGAAATCTCAGATAGAAAGCTACATAGTTAAGATTAAAGCCGGTGCTCATTTTGTTTGCCATATTTCATATTGAACAGGCTCTCAAAGAGCAAGGATTGTTTGTCTTTTGTCTTACAGGTACATTTAAAAAGTGATTGCCAATTTGAAGAACTGCCATGTGTTCGTGCTGACTGCAAAGAAAAAATCCTGCGAAAAGATTTACCAGGCCACGTAGAAAAGTCATGTAAATACCGAGAAGCAACATGTCAGTACTGTAAAAGTCAAGTTCCCATGATAACACTGCAGGTAAAATTTTTTCCTATTTCAATTACTCATACCTTCTGTGCAATTCAGATTTTGTTTCTGCATCAAACAGATTTTCTCACGATTTTTTTCTGAAAATAATAGTCATAATAATATTTGCATTTCTACAGTTTTTTAATGTTTCAAAAGGACTTATCTCACAACGGTCATGTGAGGGAGGTGAGTAGTACAAGGCAAGGAGTATAAGGCAAAAGCTCACCAATCTGAGCCAGGAGTCATGATAGCTCTTTTCAAGTATTGAAAAACGGTCACGTGAAAAAGGGGTGAGGCTTGTCTCATTTGATCCCTGGGGACTAAACCAGGAGCAATGGGTAGAAGATGCGAGTGGTCATTTGGGTTTGATGTCAGAAAAAAGTTAGAGACATTCAGAAATGGCATGGGAAGCCTCGGAAAGGAGAGGTGAAGGACCCTTCATGGGAGCTCTCTCAGGAGAAGCTCAATGACTGCTCAGTGGACGTGTTATGGTGGACTAGTTCTACTAGTGCTACTAGTTCTACTGTTCGACTAGATGAGGCCCCTTCCAATGCTTAGATTCTGCGAATCTGTAATGGCATATTATTAGGGGCTCATGGTGGAAGTTTTCTAAGACAAATTTGTAATCTTTTATAAAATCTTTCTGTAGAAATGATAACCACAACAACAGTGATGCTGCTACCACTTTGTATTGATAGTGTTTTATGGTAAAAAAAAAAAAATGAGTCATGTTAATTGTCTCACTGCTCTCAATAACCCTATGATATAATAGTTCATAAGCAAAGACTCCACATTCAGTGATTTAGCCTCTCCACCATCCTACTTCTAGCTAGAGTGATCTTTCCTTTGTCATCTGGACCAAAGAGAGAGAGATATCCTCAGAGACTTTAAACTTGTTTAAAAAAAAAAAATGGGGCAGCTAGGTGGTGCAGTGGATAGAACACCAACCCTGAAGTCAGGAGGACCTGAGTTCAAATCCAGCCTCAGACCAAACACTTGACACTTATTAGCTGTGTGACCCTGGGCAAGTCACTTAATCCCAGTTGCCTAAAAATAAAAATAATAATAATAAAAAGAACTAAGTAAACATGATCCTTGGGTCATTTGGATTTCCTTTGGGCTATATTTTTTGATATGTCAAAGAAATCACTATTGGTATTCCATCTCAATCAAGAGTCTGTGTGGTGTGGTGTAGTGTGAAAGACGCCCCAGACCTAGAGTCAGGACACTGGGGCTTGAATCCCAGCTCTGATAAATTTACGAAGCATGTGACTTTGGGTGACTCATTATCCTTTTCTGAGCTTCAGTTTTGTCATCTATAAAATATAAAATAATATTATCAGTATTTACTTTGCATGGTTGTTGTAAGGAAAGCAGTTTATAAACTCTAAAGCAGGGGTAGCTAGGCAGCACATTGGATAGAGCACTGGCCCTGGAGTCAGGAGGACCTGAGTTCAAATCTGGCCTCAGACACATGAAACTCACTAGCTGTATGACCTTGGGCAAGTCACTTAACTCCGATTGCCTCACCAAGAAAAAAAACAAATAAACAAAATAAACTCTAAAGCAAATGTGAGCTGGGACAGTAGCATCAGTGTTGCCCCTGGGGATCTTGGGAATTGTCATGATGAATTTATGTGTCCAACTCTTTCTTTAGCTTCATACTTTGGCCACAAGAGGTGATCATCTTTTATGAAAGAAATTTATCCATTTTTCAGCAACTCAGAATTTTTCAGCAACAGTAGAATTAAAGTATTTTATTTTTCATTTGGGGGAAGTTATTTCCTTAGTAATATCTACATAGAGGAATTCAATCATTAATGAATAGGAATAGTACCAATGGATTATGTCTATAGTAAATTATCTACTAACATTTATTCAGAATGTCTTGATGCCATCATAGAGAGTTAAACCTATCAGGAGTATTAAATTTTGGTTTTTTAAATTCACTTCCAAATGAGTTGAATAATATTATGATTACTTCTTCATCATGACCTTGAGCTGTATATTTTGGGAAAGCTTCAGAGGTTCACTTACGTTAATTTAACAGGGACAGTATTAGAACTATGCTATGTAAAATTATAGATAAATGAATAGCCTATTTATAATCTTTATGTTTTTTATGACATTTTAAGGAGATTTGTTCATAGATTCATGCTTACTATATTTAGAATTCAGGAAATTGTCAATTGGTCTGTTGATTATTTTATTAGAACATAAATAATATGGGAAGAGATTTATCATTGAGTTTTCTGAATTTTGACATTATGTTTCTATTTGAGGTTTCTAAATATTAATTTAAGGATAATTCATATCACTAAAGTCTTCTTCTGGTGCCTCATCATGGCATGGAAGTGACCCTGGATTTTTGGAGGCTGTGCTAGAAGGATGTAAAGCTCTGTCAGTTCCGATCAAGCTAGGACTTCTTACTTCTCAGATTCCAATTCTTAGAATCTTTATTTCTCTGAGACTCAGCTCAAGTACTACATTATCCAGGAAACCTTTCCTGGTCCTGCCAGCTGCTAGTTACTTGCACCTCTAAGGTTACCTTCTCTCTACTCTGTATTTATCTTGTATGTTCTGGTTTTTATATGCTGCTTTCCCCATTAGAATGTCAGTACCTGTAGAGCAGAAATTTTTTTTTGTCTTTTCTTTATATCCCCAATGCATAGCATAGTACCTGGCACATAGTAAGTACTTAACAAATGCTTATTGATTAATTGAGCATAGGCCCAATGACAGACTGCATCTTTTATCTGAAGACAGCCAAGCTAATTTCAGAAGCCTCATCACCAGATGATCAGCCATCAGGGGATCAATATTTTTAGCCACAGAAACTCATGAAGACCATCTAAGATCTAGAGGGGCTGGTTGTCACCTACATTGTTGGAGAGGACCAATGAAACCATGGATTCTTGAAGTACTGGAGCAGTATGGGATATGTTTAAATACACAAACCCATCATTTTATAAATAATGTGGCTATAATTGACTTCTAAAGGCAATTGATTATTTAAATTCTGAGTAAATCAGGATTTTTATGTTTTCATTGGGGTGAAGTAGTTTCCCCTTACGCTCCATAAAGGAACAACTAATTTCTTGAAAGTTTGCTTATCCAATTTCAGGGATTATTCTGGGACATTTAGATCTTGCCTAGTTCATTTAGTCCAACATTATGAAATATTTCAGACATCTTCCAAAAGGTCATAGCCAACGTGCTGGACACCTTACTCATTTTCTCCTGACATTGTAAGGGATACATTGGAACACTCTGGCTGTCCACCTGTCATTCCTTGCTTTTACTACATGGCCAAAATAATAAGATTGTATTTCTTTGCAAGTGTTTCATAATTTATATACATTTTTATCATTCATACTAGCCTTCACACAAGTTTATTCTCATTAACAATATTTTGTTGTATCTTCTAAGATGATGTCTAGCTTTCGTTTGTTTTTCAGGAATAACTGTGCCAAACTCAAACCATTTTCAAATAATAAATACTATATAAATATAACATTTATATTAAATTCCATTTATTATATAAATAGTTTTTATTTGAATGATTGTAGTAGGAAGTTTGTTTTCTTTTGGTTAAAAATTCTTGGCTAGTCGGTAGGTATAGACTTTTTTAACAAGTCCACAGTAATTTTCTTTTCTTTTCTTTAGAAACATGAAGATACAGACTGTCCATGTGTTGTTGTCTCATGCCCACATAAATGTAGCGTTCAGACACTTTTGAGGAGTGAGGTAAGATGTTTCTACTAATTGTTTAAGCTGTAAATAGCTACTTATTCAGAATTACCAGATTTAGAAGTTTAGATTATAAGATGTTTTTAGCTTTTGTAGAACTCATTTGCTTTTTAATCTATGAAGTACATAAAATTGATTGAACATTACAGTGGTGGGTGGATGTGTTTTTATAACTTTAAAAAATGGTTTTGCAAAAATGTTTTTTCCTTTGAGTAGAGAAAAAATAGACCTGTGTTAATTTGCCTCATAATGTAATTCATTACACATCCCTTTTAAAAGTAAATTTGTGGTAGGTACATCTTTTCCATTGCTTCATGTGTATCATCTCATCAGAGACAATGAATAAAATTTGATGACATTGATGACACTGTTAAAAACTGGATTTTTTTTTTACCCCAAGAGTTTCAGTTACATAAGAAGTCATCTAGAATGTGAGGAATCTAGACTTTGAGCACCAATTTCATAGAGATCTTTATGAATGAAAGCTGTGAATTCTGATGGCAGCTAGAATGTCATTCAATTAAAAAATAAAATAAAAAATGGTTTCTAATATAATTTTTTCAAGAAAATGCTCAAAAATATCAACTCAGGGGATTACAGGCCTTGAGGTCACAATGTTCTAGTAGAGGTAAACTTAGATGGGGACTGAGAAACCTGTCTTCTCTTCCTTGATGCTCTACTAACAACCTGTGTGACTTGGCAAGTCGCAACATCTCTGGGCTCAATTTTTCATTTTTAAAATGAGTTATTTGGACTATTTCTGAGATTCTGCTAGCTCTGACATTTTATATTTGAAGATCCCTTCTGGCTCTAGAATTGTAAGACCCTTTTCAGTTTCCACCAGAAAGGCCATTTTCTTTTGGTTAAAAATGCTAGAGTTTCTTCTCTATGTCCCTGTAAATGCTGAGAATAGAGAAATGAGGGAAGATGGTAAATACATTTTGGCTGAAAGTACCAAAAGAAGATATAGTTATGATTATTTTAGATACAATTCAGGGAAAAAGTGACACTTTAAAAATGAAATAATTTCAGTGGCATTATATATGCACATGGGTATATATTATGTATTTTTATTTAATATTGTGGAATTGTTCTATAGAATTGTATTAAGAATATAAAGTAGCATAGTAATATTAAAAAGCCATTTTCAGTTAGACTTTTTATAGAACAGGGTACACAGTTACGCTAGCTAGGGGAGCATCATAGATTCATAGAATATTAGAAGTAGAAGGCAGTATTAGTCCATCCCTTGCATTTTACAGTTAAGGAAACTGAGGCTTAACGATGTTAGACAGCAAGTATCAGAAATGGGCTCCAAACCCAGGTTCTTCCTCAAGTCCACAGCTCGTTGTACTGTTTCATGCAGCCTCTTGCCCTGCTCCCACAAAGAGCCAGAGATGAAAGCCTGAGTCTCTGGACACCAGAGCTGCTGCTCTTTCCTCTCTGTCCCTGCTGCCTCCATGCCCCAGTAGTGTTCTGTTTGATACCCAGCATCCCTCTGTCATTGTGTCTCAAAATCATCTTAATGTTTTTCTTAAGACCTCAATCCTCCACTTAGTTTAGGTTTGTGGTAACATGGCCTAGACATTTTTTTGGTTAAACGTCCATTAGTATTGGAAGCTATATTTTATTTCTCTAATTTCCTCTCAACCCTCATTGAAGAAACTCCTGCTGAGTCAGTGGTGCTCTGCAGGGTTCTGAGAAGAATAATCAGGTGGTACTTGGGGGGGAATAAACAGCACATTCTGTTCAAAGGATGGTCTTGCCAGCAGAAAATCAACACTCACTAGCTTAACATATTTGTCCTTATGTTAGGGCCATCGGTGGTGGGGACAGAAACAGGAGGTGCCAAGGGAAGAAATAATTACGATTATTTTAGGTACAACTCAGGGACAAGATGACACTTAAGAATAAAAATACACATAAAAATATACTTCGGTAATATAAATAATATAAAAGAGTATGTGATTATGCCATAGAGTTATATTAAAGAAGTATAGTAATTTAATATTATAAAGATTAGTTAGGATGATTGTTCAGATACATTTTTCTCATAAAATGCAGATCGTTCTTAAAGCAGCATTAAATGTATGTCATGATATATTTATGCATAATTATACATAGTACAGTATTTTGTTGCTACCATTATCCATCTGTTTTCTCATTCCAAAAATGTTGATAATGTAAAATGAAATTACTGGCCATTTTTTCTTACGCTATAGTTCATGAATACTTAAGGAAAAACATTTCTAAGTTATATTAGCCGATTCTTAACAAAATGTTATTTTGTGCTGACACAGTACCCTTTTTTTAAAAAAAGTTGATTCAGCAGTGGTCATTCAGCAGTAAAAATGATCTCTGGACAGGTCCATGACAGTTGTTGTCCATTCTAAAACTATTAAGGGACAGGGTAAGAGGGAAGGGTCAACAGATAAGTTGTAAATTCTTTCATAATTCTGTCATAAATGAATGGTACCATTTCTTCCTTTACTGTAAATGCCAACATATAAAGAATGGACCATCTGTGTACTCGGGAAACCAGGAGTTGGCCCTAGCAAATAAATCTGTACTTATTAATATATGTGAGAAACTATGAAATTAGTTAAGAGTTCCTCAGCTATGCTGAGCAGGAAGGGGGGGGGAACCTCCCTTGACCCGTTTTGCACTTCTGTGTATCATTGTCCCTGATTTGATGTGTAATTATTTTCCATGACTGAAATGTACTCCTTGAGTTTTCTAATGTGAATTTTTATATTTAAGGAAGTTATTCTTGGTCATTATATTAAGATTATGCATAGCAAAATTAATAACATATACCTTTAAAATATTATCATGGTAATCATTTGTGTGGGAAACAAAGTAATTTGATTTAATATTTAAAGAACATTTCAATCAAACCAGGGTTTTTGCCAAAAGATGAGTTTTCCTCTCCCAATTCATATGAATTTTCACCACAATTTAGTTTTTGAAATATTGGCAATAATGAGATCCACATTTTAAAAAAAAACCCTACCTCTGGGTTTCTTTTTAAAAATTAAATGTCAAATAGTCATTATAAGGCTACATTGGGGAAGAAATCAATGTTCTCAAAAGAGGAAAAACTCATCTCTAATGATCCTATGATTAATGGTACATTGTGTAAGCTTGCCTTGAAAATATTTTTCACTTTGTGTTCTTGTGTACTGTATATGAGATGTGTGATCCAATTGCATCCTAAAATACTGTATGAGATTTCTGTGTTTCATGCATTTTCATTTCTAGTCCATAAATGTTCATTTTGGGTTTTTGTTTTTGTTTTTGTTTTTTTAATTCTGGCATTGCAGATGGCTTGTCACATTTTGAACAATTTGTTCTAGAGAAACTACAATTTTAAAAAATAATTATATTAAATGTATTTCTGTATATTAGTGTATGTGTGTATACATGTGGATATACTGTATATTGCTGCATATGAGTCTAGCAAGCAGATAATATACACACTTGTATATTTAGAAACACCATTCTTAATAATACAACCCGGATGATCTGTGCCCTTAATATGTTTGAGCATTATCATGCAAACGTTTGTACCAAAACTCACATTTTTTTCCCGTTGCAGTTGAATGCACATTTGTCAGAATGTATTAATGCCCCAAGTACCTGTAGTTTTAAGCGTTATGGCTGCACTTTTCAGGTCAGTATATAATAATTATATTTCTCAATTGCTGAAAGTCTGCAATAAGAGAAACTTATATTGACATTTTAATATGCAAGCTCTGGGCTCCTCTAGTCTTTGTAAGGAAGCAGAAACATATAGTTGTATGAATGAGTTAAGTTGTATGCAGCAGGTCTCGGTGTCTGCTCTTTATTCCTGTGATGTCTTGAGGCATCAGATTTGGGGAGGTAGAAGTTGTCTTTCCATTCATAACTTCTACAGTAAAAACTTCTTTTGCTGTGTCTTCAAAAAGAAAAGAACTAATATTTTGGGATTTTCTAGAGAGTCTGTGACAGGAGTTTAAACTTATTTGAAAAGAAACATCGAATCTATATGGACATTTCTAGTTTCCGCAGCATCTGTAGTATTTCTGTAGAGTAATACATGGAAAACTATAGGTCACAAACATGCGTAGATATATGAAGAAAAATGAATGTTCATGTGTATGTGTGTACTTACTCAGATTTCAACATAACTAATCTAGAAGTAGGTTTAGTTTGGATTTGCACACTTCGCATTTCTATAATGCTTTAACGTTTATAAAACACATTCCTCACAACAGCCCCATGGAAGTAAGTAGTAGAGGTATGATGATCCATTTTCCATCTAAGGTACCTGAGACTCAACAGACGAGAAGTGATCAGCCCAGGGTCATACAAGTACTGAGTCCATTTAGAGCCAGGACTTGAATCCATCATTCTTTCCTTAACGCCACATTTCCTCTGAGATTAGGTAACATGTAGGACAGTTACAAATAAGCTCACACACACACATACAATGTACTAGTATGATAAAAACATACTATGTTATTGCTGCATATGTAATGTGAGAAACCTGTTTTTTATTTTTGTTTTTGTTTTTTTTAATTATGTCTGAGATGGCCAGCAAATTTAGATTGAGTTTTCATTTAAATATATATCTTGATGTTCTAAAACTGTGAGAAGGGAAAATATATTTCAAATAAAATACTTTCCATTTAATTGTAATATATCATAAATAAATTCTACCTTAGTATGATAGAAATCAATATTTTATTAGTCAAAAATTAAGAATTATCTATAGTTTTCTCTTTGTTTTATTTCTTTAATAGTGCTGACCCTTAACCACTGTTATGTCTTACGTACTATCATTCATTTTCTTTGTGTACATATATATGTTTGTATATATCTAAATGTATATCAACATATATATATAAATATTCTATATACAGAGTATATGTTTTGGAGATCATTGGCATTTTTCTAGTGACTTCTTAAATTTTGAATCTTAAAGCAACATAGACTTTCATACAAATTCATTTCTTAAGCAAGTGAATTACTATCACCTGTGTTTGGAAAAGACTATAATTTGGTCTACATCTTATGTACTCTGTATATTATATACGTTTGTATGTAACCTTTATAATAACCAAAATCTTTAGGCTGTGTGGGAGCAGCAAATCTTTATTTTTTTGATGAACAAATTATTTTCTCTTGGTAGATTAGTTACAGTATACCCTTTAATTTGATCCTAATTGGACTTGTTTCAACATACTATTATAGGAGTATCTAATTATGACTGCAGTGTACCTTTTATATTATCATTGAAAAAAAATTTTTTTAAACTTGATTTAAAATGTTCATTCCTGTGAAATAGATTATAAATTAATTATTTCAAAAGAAAGTTCTCTCTTTTGAGGATGGGGAGAAAATTAGTCCAAATTCACATATAGGGTTATAAAACATTTTTATTTTTTAAGTACCATCCCTTGACTATGCTCCCATATGTTTAAAACATGTCATTTACCTCAGTTGGCTAATATTTGCCATTAAAATCTATTCTCCTGACTCGAATGTTTCTTATTAACTTTATATGATCAGATTTCCCTCCATTCAGATTTAATATTGGTTGTATAGCTTTGTATTGCATTCTTTCTGTATGTTTTTAAAACAGTAAACTTAATTTTAATGTTTTATATTCTTTGCTCTCACAGGGAACAAATCAGCAAATTAAGACACATGAGGCCAGCTCAGCAGTGCAGCATGTTAATTTACTGAAAGAATGGAGTAATTCTCTAGAGAAAAAGGTACAACCATACATCTTTTACTAATATTGTTAAATTTAAATAATTGGGAAAAAATGGAGAACAAAACCTTTTCTGTAGCTTTTTGCATGACTAAAACAGTATCATATAAGATTGTTGAAAAAAATTCCACCACTGATCTTAAGCCTCATCCATGAGAGTCTGTGGTTGGTAGTATGGACTTTTTGGTTTTTTTTTTTAATTGACAAGCAAAATATGTAGTGGATTCACCTCACTAGCTGTCACAACTGAATATATTTATGTAGTCAGAGTGACTGACACAGAATTGCCCTCTTTGGTCCCTTGACCTTCTTGCAAGAAAGACAGAGAGGAAAAGTGGTTCAGTATTTATAGCTTTTCACTCTGATCAAGACAATTCCAAAGGACTCATGATGAATAATGCTATGAACTCTGAGTGCAGATTGAAGCACACTTTTTAAAAACTTTTTTATTTTTATTATTTTCTTTTGTTTGTGTTTTCTTTTGCAACATGGCTAATATGGAAATATGTTTTGCATGACCTCACATATGTAATCACAATCAAATTATTTGCCTTCTCAAGGAAGGGGGAAGAAGGAAGAGAGTTTGGAAATCAAAATTTTTAATAAATTATTATTAAATTTTTTACATGTAATTGGAAAATGTTTAATGAAAAAAATAAAAATAATTTAAAAAAAGAAATAGTACCAAAATAAGTATTTGTAGCTTTTCTATGGGCTTAAGGAGTCTTAAGGAGGATCTTAGGAGAGCTGTCTATCCTGAGCAGGTTTACTTTCTAAACAGGCACATTCTTCTCCCCTCTGCATTCCTCCTTGTTTCTGTTCTTATTTTCGAAGACATCTTTGTTCTCTTCTGCTCTGAACTCTCCGGCATCCTAATATCCTTTCTGATGCCTCCTATGTGGTGTTTCCTTTGAGGATTGCTAAATTTCCCTCATAAAAATCTTTTTCCCTGTGAGGCTTTCTAGAAAAAGAATCATTTAAGATGACAGCATTTAGAGTTGTAGAGGTCTTTAGAGATCACTTAATCTAATATCTCCCTTCATTTTATAAGTGAGGAAAGTGAGTCCCAGACGGGGTATTATAGAATCCCCAAGCTGTGGTTTATTTGTTGGAATAGAATCTCTAGCTTCACTTTAAGTTTTTATTTTCTGTCAGCTTTGAGGTTTGAAGGCTACCTCAAGCAGTTTTGAAGGAAAATCCTTATGGGAAAGATATTGGAAGAAGCCCAGAATTTTAAACCAAAACATTTTCATTCCACATAAAACAAGACACTTTCTTATTCTAAATAATATCTTTTTAAATTGGCAAGTAATTTCTTGAAGAGCAAAATAAAGACAGATTAGCCTTCTCAAAAGTGCTGGTTTTTATATAATTATAACAAAAAAAAAAGTAAGGATCTGTATCTAAATAACAGCAAAATAAAACAGAGGTACCAGGTCACTCTTGCTGTTTTTTATGAGCATGTACTGGATTGCTTTCAGAATTTGCTAGGAATAAAAACTCAGATAAACAGTGTTTTCCCTCACACTAACCCTATGAGATAAGTAGTGCAGATTCATTCCTATTTTACAGAGAAGGAAATTGAGCTTCAGAGAGGCTGATTTGCCCAGAGAAGTCACAGCAAGTAAATGCCAAAGCCAGTATTCCAGCCCAAGATTTCAGACTCTCCTCTATACTACATCACTACTTGCTTTGTCACAATCTGGTCCTTTCTCTGAACGTTATACAACATGTACCTTTATTTTCACTTTCTTTTTTTATCGTATGCATTGGATTAAGTGTCACTTACATTTGTAACAATTCTAGTATATTTTCTGTTCTAACACTGAGTCAAGATTGTGCAGTTTTCATTTTGCCACCCTTGTGTCTCCTGAGAGATAGTTTACTGTAATCTTTGTACCTCAGCAGAAGTGATCTAATCAGATAGTGGCTGTGGTTCTAGTTTCAGTCTTTCAGTTAATCTAGTTCAACCTCTACATAATATTTTGACAAATTGTCTACTTTTCTCCTTACAACACTTGATCCAGTTTTCAAAGCATTATAATTGTAAAAGGTGCTGTTTCCAAGGCTTCTTCCAAGGGCTACTTGAATAAACTTGCTGTTTGGATGATTCTCATTATTGTTAATTTCCTCACTTCCTGCTTTGTAGTCTTTTTCCAGCTTAGAATGAATGGTTTGAATCACTGGAAATCCCAGGACATACCAGATTACCAGAATAGCTAGCCACACATCACATGGCTTATTATATTTTCTTAGAGAAAGGTGGCAAAAATATTTTTTTTACTTTGTGAATAGACTTTTAATTTAATTAAAATATTACTAGCTATGACAGGACAAAGGTCTGAAGATTACAGATGAAAACTAAAGTTTAATGTATTAGTTTGATAAATATGAAAGTCTTGCCTTTCTTGGTAATTATTCAAGGATACTGTATAGCTCTGATTTTTTATATCTTTAGAGAAATCTGAATGAATGCTGATGCCAAGCTTGTTCATTCCAGATGTGGCTCTAAAAATTCTAATTTGAAGTAGTAGGATTGTTATTATTAGTGAAGCTATATAGTCATCATTTCCAAAAAATAAATGGAAGACAACACATATAGAATTCAAAGTCTTATTGCCCTAGAGTGTCCATCAGTTTTTCATTGTACAGTTCTCAGATCAGAATTTCATGGATGACTTCATCCTTGATTTGGAAAATCAATCAAAAAGCATTTATTAAGCACCTACTATGTGTGTGCTAGGTACTATGCTAGGTCTTGTGGACGCAAATACAAATAAAATAAAATAAAACAATCTCTACTCTCAAAGAACTTACACTCTTATCAGGGAAAACCATATGTACATCCAGAAGTATATGCAGAATAAATACAAGGTCATGGGAGGGAGGGCACTAGCCCTTAGAGAAATCAGGAAAAGCCTCTTGTAGAAGGCAGTACTTGAGCTGCATCTTCTAGGAGGTGAGGGATTCTCTGAAGTAAAAGTGAGGCAGGAAGTCCATTGTAGGTATGGGGAATGACCAGTACAAAGACTTGGAGATGGGCAGATGGAGTACTTGCCACATGGGAGAAATAGAGATAAGAACAGTTTGGCTGAACTGTAGAGTTCAGGAAGGGGAGTAATATAGATTAAGACTGGAAAGACAGGTTGAGGCCAGCTTGTGAAAGGCTTTTAAAGCCAGACATCTAGGTTGTTACAGGTATAAATTCTAAATATAGCAGAGTATTAAGTGCCTCCAAAAACTAAACGTCCTTCCAGGAAATTGTATAAAGTTGCAAGAGTAACATAGACTCTTAACAATATGTTATTTGCAAAGAAGTTAAGTTTTATGAAAGTTATTATACAAAAAAAGCTAATCTTTTCTTAAATCTCATTCTAAAATACAAGGCTCACTGGTTTAAAAAGATAAAAAGTCAAATGGAAATATAGGATGCTCATATCATGTTGTCATAGAATTTAGAATTGGGAGGAACTTTAAAGAAGCAGTGTATTTGATGTACAACTTTTTCTCTTTTAGAAAACGAGACCTTGAGTGGGAATTGTGAGCCATGATCTCTGGATACACGTGTTTCCAGTTTTCACTTTAGAATAGACTGTACTTCTTAGGCTATATCAACTATGTGCACACTTTACTTCCATAAAACTGAAAACAGTGAATTATTCTAAATAAGACTGCTATAGGAACAGTAGGATCCTCATTTAGTTCTAAAAGTCTGATTGTGGAAGTAAGAGAAGTCCCCAAACTGAATATTTCCGCCAACCTGAACTGTTTTTTTGGTCCTCTCCAAGTATCTTGTACATTATAGCAAAAATTCAGTGTGTTGTATGATGTTACTAGGGTATAAAGGAATGACAAGCCTGCCACTTCTTTTTGATGGACGTGAGAAAAAAGCGGTATTACTTGTTGCTGGCAGCTCAAAGATAGATGAATTCCAAATTTTTTTTATAATTAAAAATAGAACTTTGCTATGCTATTTGGTACATTCTTTTACTGACAGAATTGAGGCCATTCACCATGAGTTGCTTCTTCTCCCATTCTTTTCACCTCAGAACCTCTTCACAGCATCCTCTGTTCCTTCCTTCTTTCCCACAGTCTCTGATAATGAGGTGACCCTTCTCCTTTCCAAGGCCGGTCCTTCTACACGTGCCCTTGGCCCGCATCCTCCTGCCTTGTACAACAAACTGCCCTCTCTAATCTTCAACTTTCCCTAGTTACTGCTTCCTTTCCTACTGCCTTTGAACGTGTCCAAGTCTCCTCCATCCTTAAAAACTTTCACTAGACTCTTACCATCCCCTCAAAAGCTGTTGTTCATCTATACCTTTTTTCCCTTTTTCAGAAAAACTTAAAAAGCTTTGTATTCACTGCTTCCATTTCCTCTCCTATCACTCATCCCTTAACTCTTTACAATCTGACTTCCCACCTCATTGCTCAACTGAAATTGTTCTCTCTGAAGTTACCAATGCTCTCTTAATTACCAAAGCTGATGGTTTTTTTTTAATCTTCTTCCTTCATTGAACTCTCCATATTTGACACTGTTGACCACTGTCTCCTTCTGAATGCTATCTCTTCCTGAGCTTTTAATTCTGGCCATTCCTTTTCAGTTTCCTTTTCTTGGGTCATAATCAGTATCATGCACTCTAACCATAAGTTTTTTCCACGGTTTTTCTTTTTCTATACATTTTTCTTGTATATATATTTTTTTTCTTTTGAGTATATGTGTGACCTCATCAGCTCCTGTGAGTTTGGTTTCATTATCAGAACTTTGCAGATCACTCATAGATCTATATATCTAGCCTCAGGCCCAAATTACCAAATGCCTTTTGGACATTTCAAACTAGACGTCTTGAAAACATCTTCCTTAGCATGACCAAAACATTTCATTATCTTTCCCTTTTAAAATCCACCCCCTTTAAAAAAAAAACTTCCCTATTTCTGTCAAAGGTACTACTAATCTTCTAGCCTCAATTTTGTAACATCGGCATGATCCCAGCTACTCGTTCTCTCTCACCCAAATTTCCAATCAGTTGCCAAAACTTGTTTCTACTTCACAATCCCATCTGACCCCTTCTCTCTACTCACATAACCACCATCTTAGTTTAGATCCTCATCACCTCTTGTCTAGACTATGGTTTTTCCTTGCCTAGATTACTATTCTAATTTCTCTCCTTGCTCCAAGTCTCTCCCCAATCAAATTCATCTTCCACATAGCTGCTAAAGTGATTTTCCTTAAGCACAGATCTAACCGTGTCAATCCCCTACTTCTTATGCCCCAGAGGTTCTATATTACCTCCAGGATCAAATATAAACCTCCATTTAACTTTTAAAGCCCTTCACAACCAATCTTTCCAGCCTCATTTTATATTGCTTCCCCTCCTAGACACTGGCTGTCTCTGTGTTCCTCACACTCTGTTCCACACTGTCTCCGGTCTCAGTGTCTTTGCACTGACCATCCCCTATCCCTGGAATGCACTTGTCTCCTCACCTCTGCCTCAGAGAATCTCTTTATTCCTTTAAGATGCAGTGTAGGCACCATTTTTTGCATGAAACTTTTCCAGATCCCCTCTACGGCTTTGCCCTCCTTTTCTAGGTACCTTAAATTTAACTACCTTTTATTTATTTGTATTTACTCTCTACATATTGTTGTCTTTGTCTCCCTTGAAGGAAGAGAATGAGCTTCTTCAATAGTCAGTCATTGAACATTTATTAAGCACCTTCTACGTGCCAGGCAATGTGCTGAGCACTGAAGATACATTTGCAAGTAAAAACAGACAGTCTCTGACCTTGAGGAGCTTATGTTAGATTAATGAAAGAATACAGCATAGAAATGGAAGCTGGAATAGGGGGGGAGCAGAAGAGATCTGATGCAGGGGGATGATGGAGAACTTCAGAGAAGTCCAGAAGCAGTGTAGCTGGTGGGAAAGGAGGGCCTTCTTGAGAGATGGTGTTATTTTGTGCCTCATCTTTGTATCCATAGCACCCAGCACAGTGTCTGATATAGAACTGGTACTTAATAAATGCTGATTGATTGGTTGATTCTCCTATGAAGATTAGGACCCTCAGGAGAGGTGAGGTTAGGGCTTCCTCACTAGGAAAGATCATTTAAATTGTTAATGCCAAAGGGCACCATCCCTGTGAATGCAACAAAGATTACATCTTTTACGAATGAAAATTAACACTGGAGATTGTGGACTTACTGGTATAATGAGAAATTATTTAGTATAACCTAAATTCTTTTTGGTATAATGAGAAATCATATTTTGCCCATGAGAAATTATATATTTGTAATTCTGGATAAAAATGTTAGTTTGTTTTTTTTTTAAATAGACAGAAATGCCAGATTTAGCTATTTGCCTTGGCTTAGTGAATGGTATTTGTACATGAAAATCACTCCTATACTATATTGTGTGAAAAGAAAAGTATTGAGGAAAGGCATCACCTCCAGCTCATGCCATTTTATGCATAAGAGAGCAGCATGCCATAAGAGAGCAACATGACAGAGTGCTGGGCACAGAGTGAAGGGGATCCTCCGTCTTCTAATCCGTCACCTGCTGTGTGACGCTGGGCAAGTTGCTTAACTTCTCTGTGCTTTGGACAGTTCCTTAGAATTTATCTACCAATTCATAGATGCTGTGTGATTGATTATCTGAGAAAATGACACTGATAAAATCACAGATCCTTCCACTGTTTTTGTATAACTATTATCCTAGTGACTTTAGAGAACTGTTTGCTATAGTTGTTCTTGTGGACCAGTTTTAAGCAGAAACAATCAATAAAAGAGCAACATGCAAAGAAAAGTTTTTTGTAATTTAAATATAAGAAAAATAGGTAATGCTCTCCACATGGTGACAGCCAGCTCCCTTACATAAGACTCTTGGTATTTTAGATTTTTTTCTGATGAATTTCATATTATCATTTTCAGAAATACATATTATATATTATAAATTCCTATTACACAGGTCCAAAATAGCTCACCTTCTGCTTCTGTAGGGAAAGATCTCCCAAGAGCCTATCCCAAACAACTAGTACAATAATAGTTATTTTTCTAGCCAAAAAGGATTGTAATAATCTTAATGTCATGTTATTATACATACCCTTTCTCTGAGCAGCCTGGGAATACTTGGAATCCATTTTTATTTTCCCTGTTCTAGTAGGATTGATCATGCTTTGTTAGGCTTTTTGAATTCCATTGGCACCATTTAATTTTTGAGTGGTTTAATGTTGCCTCCCCAATTCACTTCAGCAAGAATCAACTCTTACAGGAATTATGACAATATTAGGAACTGTAACAGTTTCTTATATGCTATGATCTAGCCAAACTGTAGCATATGATCTATTACTGTCTTTGTCTCAGTACATTTGTTGGACTGGAATTTACCAAGTAGATCTACAGGACCCCTCACTACGTTATTCAGAATGACAGCTCCCTTTCAGTGTTAGAGACGAATTCCCTCCTTCCTGTGGTCTTGAGAAGGACAAAAATTCATTTTCACATCATTATATATCACTGAGAGACAATGCATGGAATAGTGGGTAGAAAGTTGGCCTTGGAGTCAAGAAGACCTGGGACCAATCAAGCCGCACCTTTGACACACACTGGCTATGTGACCCTGGGAATATCACATAACCTCTCATTGCCCTAGCAAATTCTTTACAGCTTTTAAGTTAGAGATCAGCTGCTGGTCTGAATTAATAGACAGAGTAATGAAATAATAGGTCCATGGGGCAGCTAGGTGGCACAGTGGATAGAGCACTGGCCCTGGATTCAGGAGGACCTGAGTTCAGATCCAGCCTCAGACACATAACACTAGCTGTGTGACCCTTGGCAAGTCACTTAACCCCATTGCCTAGCCAAAAAAAAAAAAAGAAAAGAAAAAGAAATATAGGTCCAAACTCCCCATCCCCTTTTGATTATTTGTTATTGTTTGATAGTATATAGTCATGCGTTGGTGAATTAATTGTAGAATTTTCTTCCCAGGTTTCTTTGTTACAGAATGAAAGTGTAGAAAAAAACAAGAGTATACAAAGTTTACACAATCAGATATGTAGCTTTGAAATAGAAATTGAAAGACAAAAAGAAATGCTCCGGAATAATGAATCCAAAATACTTCATTTACAGGTAAGCATTATTAAAACTCTACTAGGTTAAGTTAAGGCAAATGTTGCATGTTGTATTTTTTGCTTTAGGACTTTTCCAGTGTGATAATAAAATTAAAACTAATTTTTATTTTATTTTTAACAAGAACAGTATTTTGTATAATCTTATGTAGTTTAATCTGATGTATTTATAAGTGTTATTTCCTGCATGGTAATTAGAAATAAATGTTAAACAGTTAAAATACATGGTTTAATTAGCGTTCCTTTTACACAGTCAAACTAAATTCTTATAGTTTTTCTCTTTCCATTTCATTAGTTCCCGAAGAGCACCAGTTAAGTTTTCCATGCTGCTATGTACATTAATAATCATTACACACATACTCATTGATGCACACGTAAAGACTATGGGCATACCTGGAATTTCCCAATCTCTGAGGCATCCTGTGCCCCAAAGCCATTGCGTGAAATGGAAACTCCCTCTGTTCTCCTCCTTGAGTCCTCTTCACCTAGGAATTTACTGAGCACTGTACCTAGCTGTTCCTAGGCCCACGTGTCTTTTGAGTTAGTGCAAACTGGACTGCAAGGGAGGCTGTGAATGTCCATTAATTTCATGAAATAGAGTGGTGATATGCTTTCCATTTCAATAGTTTTACAGCATGATTTGAAGTAAAAGAGTCAAGAGGAAATATGGTTAGTGATTAGCACAGCCATGGGAACTGGGAGTTTGAGTTTCAGTGCCTAATTTTACCGTCGCCTTTCTTGGTCAAACCCCTGAACTTTGCTGCCTTTGTTTTGTTGTTTGTATAATGGAAGTACGAAGGAGCCCTATGGAAATTAAACTCAATTCCATTTAACAAATAGTTATCAAATAGCCGCTTTGTACAAAATATTATGCTAGGTGCTGGAGATACAGAAATGAGACCAGACATAGTCATTGCCTTCAGAAAACTTGCAAATTGTGGATTATGGGAGGTAGAGGTAGGAATGAGATAACTATGCCAATTCAATTCAACAAGCATTGATTTAGCATCTACTGTGTACAAAGCACAATGCTAGATGCTGCGTGAACAGTGCACGCACAAAAAACAACAGCCTCTGCCCTCAAGGAGTTTATATTCTTCTGATAAGGGGAGGAATACAACATGTATGTGTGAATATCTGTGATTTCCCTCCAGAAACTCCTTGAGAAGGCACTGCACTGACCTATGAAGATCAACAACTGTTTTACAACTTACAGTCTCAGGGAATTTCCTTAGAACCACTGAGAGATTAAGTAATTTGCCCAGCATTGTTAAGTTATTTGTCTCCCCTTAGAATGTCAGAGGCAAGACTTGGCACCATGTTTTCCTAACTCTGAGGCTGGCTGTCCCCGTCACATCCCTGTGCCTGTCACAATCTATGTAGAGAGATGTAAATAGGAGGGAATATGAGGAGGGTATAAAGCACATTTGGTAATTCAGGACATCCTGTTGCTCATTCCTTACTCCCCATGTTTGCTTCTAGCTCTCTGAATCCCTCATTTCCTCCAAAGTTCAGCTCAGGTGCTGCCTCTTCCTAGAGGCCTTTCCTGATTCCCTCCCTTATTAGTGCTCCTCCCTTCCCCATCCCACAACCTCACAAAAGTATTGATCAGTTGTTTTGTATAGATTTTCTATTGACTTCTCTACCTACATGTTGTTTCCTCCAGGACATAAGGTATTTAAGGGCAAGAATTCATACTTGTCTTTGTATCCCCAGCACAAAGCATGGCACCCAGAGCATAGCAGGCACCTGTTAAGTTTTCATTGAATTTCTGTTCTTCAAGTTATCTATCCAACAAATAGCCACTTCTCCAATACATGTGTTTTGTTTCATAAACACATCATCGTAAGGTCATAAAAGTAGGTCTAGAAGTGACCTTCGAAATCTTCTAGTTAAAGCCCCTTATTTTGCAGACATAGAAACTGAGGTCCCACAAGTATTAAGTATATGGCTACAGTCTGAAAGATACTTATTGGTGTGTTTTGAAGACCATAGATATTTAGCCTATAGATTGAAGTTATTATTGGTATACTCCCCTGCTGAATATTGTATGGATACAAGTATAGATCATGTGTTTCCTTAAATGTGAAACATTTAGTAGTCTAAGCAGTGCAAATTCATCATAGTTTTTGTAAGTGCTCATCCTCCCATTTTGTATATTGTACTAGGAAGGACATTAGTCCTGAAATTAGCCTTCCTGAAATGTGTAGCCTATAACTACCTCAGGAAAGAGAAAATTCTATATATTATTAGAAAGCTTATTTCAATTACAGGCATGAAGTAATATTTATTGCAGCTAAAATCTCTATGGCTCTTAAAGGTTTACAAAGTGCTTCCTTCCCTCATTAGGAGTAGGTAATTAAGGCATTATGGCCATTTTACAGATGAGGAAAATGAAACTGAGAGAAGTCAAGGTCGTATGATCAGAATTTAATCACTTCACCACATCTAAAAATCACTGGAGAAAAGATCCTGGGGTTAGGGGATTCACAGGAGCACAAATTCATGTGCTGTTGAGTTGGATTAAAATTAATTTTAGGTATATTCTATGCAAGTGTGTATATGTGTGTGTGTGTGTGTGTGTATCTCAGACTCATAAAGAAGCCTTGAATTCATTTTAAGCTATGCCTTCTTCTACCTTACTCTACTCAAAATGTATCTTATTTATATGTAGCTTTCGTGTGAAAGTATCAGTAATTAGAACATTGAGATGTGTCAACCAGTTAGATAAAAAAATAATTCATGATATTGATTATTTGACACCACTTGGGAAATAAATGTTTAAATAAAGATGAATTTGTATAGGGTGTAACAGATTGTTTATAAATTCACTTCTTCACACCCATGTAACAAAAATTCAACTTGAGATATGCTGTAGTAGATGCCTTGCCTTCAGGAATAAAATCATGTTTGTGACTTATATGTAGAAAGCATTAATTACCACCTTCCACTCAAATTATTTCATGTATACAGGTTAAAAGGCCCATTTAAAAATAAACATTTTTTCTCCTTTGCTGTGCCTGGAAACTACTTTAAAGTCTACTGTTCTTAAGTGGTTTCCAGATGCAGCTTGGGCCTTTTCATCATCTTTGAGTTGCATAAAGTTCAGATTATGACACTTTAAAACTCACTTGTTCCATTCATGAACCAAGTGTGAAATAGAGGTGGTAGTTTGTATTACTAGTGTCTACATTGAACAAAATTGACTTACATGTTTATATCCTGTTCCATGTTACACAGATCTATTTCATGTAATCTTGCTTGGAAGTACACTCAAATCTCATTTGTCCAGATTCCTCTAATTGAACATTTGTGATATCTCATTGTGATATCATAGAGGGTAATGATAAAAAACAATTATCCCTCAGATTTGTATATACTTGGCAGTTTTCAAAGCCCTTGCCATAAATCGTCTTATTTTATTTAGTCCTCTCAACAATTTGATAAGGGAGACAGGCCAGGGTTATATTCCTCATACTACAGATAAGAAAACTGAAACCTAAAGTAAAGTGACTTCCACAAATTCATGTGCCCAATATGTGGCAGAGCAAAGACCAAGTCTTCTGTCTTTTGTTCAGTGTTCTGTCTTATAAATTAGATATAAATAGATTTAATGCAGAACTCAAATGCTTGAATAAATTTTATTGACTAAGCTTATTATGAACTCTGATTTCTACTAGCTTACCTGATTTTATTTCAATTAACTAATCAATCAACAAACATTAATTAAGTGTCTACTATAGCTGGGCATTGTACTAGGTGTGGAGGATACAAAGACAAAAGACAGTCCCTTGCCTCATTACAACCTACTGGGGGAATACAATATTCTTATTAGTATTCTTTTGTACTCTAGTTTATAGTGTTGTAGTACTTCAAAGTAATCAGATTCTTTTTAAAAACAGATTCTTCTCTACCTCCAATAGAACTCCTTCTCTCCGTGTGGAAAAAAATCAAGTTCACACACACACAGGCACACACTCCTATATTTGAGTCTTTGTTGTGCATTGTACTTGTTTGAAAATAAAATAATCATATCCACATAAGAAATTTTATTCTTTTGAGAAATCATTGTTATATTTTTTAAATATGCAAGTAACTACTCTTTCTTGGAAAGAAGAAAAAGAGGAAGACATTTGTAGACCAGGTAACTAAGTAAAAAACGTATTCTTTTTGTAGTTTCCTTTTAATTATTAACAACATGCTGTAGGTACTGAAACTTAAATGTTTAAAAATAAGTTTCTAAAAGGAGAAGTAGAGATCGTGGGGACCAGCAGGGTTATCCCCTTAGATACAGTGGATGTTGGACAGCCCCTTGGAGGTAATTTATCACTCTCAAAATGTGACTTAAATCTAAATTACCTTGGCTTGTCTTGATCTTTCAAACATGCAAATTTTTTTAAAAACGTAAAATCCCTTTAGGTTTCTGAAAATGGTCACAAACTGCTACATGACACTGTTGGAGCAGACAAGAATCTAGACAAATCTGGCAGTAAAACTACTTTTGTCACCCAAATGAGTATATGATTCCTGTTGTTATTTTATTATTGTTCACATGAAATCTACCACGGATTCTGTAGATGAAATTTCTACCAAATCAATTAAATTAAGATGCTATGGACCTTGGACAAATTATTTTACCTTTTTGCCCCACAGTTTCCTCCTCTAAATGTGAGGGGTCAGACTATATAATATTCAAAACTCTTTCCAGTGCCAACATTGTGTGTGGTATCTGAAATGAGCCCTGAGCTGAGGGTCAAGATTGAGAATGTGAAAGAAATACATGCAATTTTATATATGTATTAAATAGCCAAATAAAAATATGAAATATCCAAAACAGGAAAATGATAACTTAAATAAACCAATATCAGAAAAAGAAACTAAACAGGCTATTAATGAACTGGCAGCCAGGTGACTCAGTGGATAGAGCAAGGAACTTGGAGTTAGGAAGACCTGAGTTTGAATCATGTCCTTGACATATTCTAGCTGTGTGACCCTGAGCAAGTCACTTAACCTCTCTCAGCCTCAGCTTCCTTATCTATAAAATGGCAATAATAGCACCCACCCCACACGGTTGTTGCCACATGAGTTATATGTTTACTTACATATCACTTTGCAAACCTTAAAAGCTATTTAAATAATGCTAGAAATAGTAACTGTATCAATACTTTAATACTTAAGTGGATCTGTGATCTCATCCAAATTACAACCCATCCTCTTCCTGTGTAACTTTTGTCCATGTCTTTCCATAAATTCTTCCTGTGAGGTCCACCCAATGTACTTCCTCTGGATCTTTTCATACTGGGTAGATAGCAGTGGAGTACAAGGGCAGTTTGTATGTTCTTTGCTCGTTGTCTGACTGTGGCCTACCTTCTTTTCCCATTACATATTTCTCTGATGATATCTTGTATGCCACTTCTTGTGTAGAACTCTTCACTGGTATTGTTTTGTAGCCTCCAGGCACCTCTCCATTGTCCTTTGTATGACTCTTAGCTCTAATTCTTCCAAAATGGGCATTCCCTGACTTTTAGCCGAACAGCATCACCAGAAGAATATTGAGGTCAAAGGCCAGAAGTTGCTTTCCTCTCCAATTAATTTCTAAGTACAGTTTATTGTCTAGGAAGATGTGGGTATGGATGGACCAGTTCTGTGGGTTGTCCACGCAGCCACTTATTGTGGGGAGCCCCACTTCCTTTTGACTCTCTTTGGTGATGGCAAATACCCTTAACAAGCATATGAATCTCATTTTATGCCTTACTTGATATTGATAATCAGAGAGTCATCAGGAAAATTTTCTCTGTTGAACAACATAGTTCAAGGAATTCTATATGATGTTGATACTAGCAAAGGAAATACCTTATTGCCAGAGAGACTTGAAGGTCACATTTTACTCAGAAAAGTTGTGTGTGTGTGTATGCATATACATATACAGTGGAATCTTATATTTTCTAGAACTTTCAAAAAATTATGTGACTATAAAGATGTAGTCTGTTGGAAAATGTTCACAAAAGCTTTATTGTTCCCTTCTTGCTCTCATCAAGGATGCCCTTGATACATGTGTATAGAATTATCTTGGTTATCAACTCTGGTTTGGTTGTGAAGAGGTCTCTGCCCTCATCTTTCAGACTCTGAATGTTAAATACAGTTGTGATTTTCAGTGGAAAAGAAATCTCAGGAAAGCAGTACCCCTCCATTTTTTGTATGGCATAGAAATTAGGGATTGAAGCCCCTGTAGTAGATTTCAGAAAACTTAGGTTATTTTTACATGCATTTCTGATCATCATTGACTTTACTAATGTAGTTATATTCCTTTTTTGTTCTTCTGTTTCATGTTTAATGAATTTTCAAACATTTCTAATTGGTTTTGCTTTTTCATCCTCTTTGTGTTGAAAAGCGAGTGATTGATAGTCAGGCTGAGAAGCTGAAAGAACTGGATAAAGAGATACGTCCCTTCCGACAAAACTGGGAGGAGGCCGACAGCATGAAAAGCAGTGTGGAATCCCTCCAGAATAGAGTCACAGAACTGGAAAGTGTGGATAAAACTGCAGGACAAGCAGCACGAAATACAGGTGAGGAAGGAGGGGCAGGAAAAATGGAGAAAGTTTCACCATCTCCTTGAGATAAAAGACAGCTGGAATCCCTGCATCTCTGGAATCCCTGAATGTATTGTCTCCAAGGGAAAATTGTCCCATTGGTTGTTCAGTTATCACATGGAAAGGCAGATATGTGAAAGCCATTTGCATGTGGCAGATAATATTAGTGCCTTATATACCACATTTAGTTTTCATGTTATGGAAAAAGCCCTGGTGTGACAGGGGTGACAGAGAACAAGAGTACATGCATGTTACGAGTACAGGGCACATATCTAGGATCCCAGATGGGTCATGGCTTCCAGGTAATTTATCATCTTTACATGAATTCAGCAGCACCTCTATCTACAGATAAAATGATAGCTTTAGAGCTAGAAGAAAGATCATTTAGTCCAACTCCCTCATTTTACAGACTGAGGCTTGAAAAGGTTAAATGATTTGCCCCTGGTCACACAGGTCTGAGTCCAAATTCAAAGCTCTTTCCCTGTACTATGGTGCCTTTCAATGTCCAATAGGCAGTTGATAACCAAGAGTTGAGACCTTGGGGGAAAGGTCGAGAATGGAGATATTTATCCCCATAGAATTAATATTTTTGGCTTTGGAAGAGAATTTAGTTAGTATTGATCAAAGTTCAACATCCATCCCCACGTAGGTATCATTCCTTTCAGAATCTGCTGGTTGGTTTCATGAGTTGCTGTGGCCAAAAAGTGTATCCTCTGGTAGCTAACCTTCTCCATATTTAACTATGCTAGTGCTAGGCCTGTCCTCAAAGCCTTCCCAGTTTAGTGGTGAGAATAATGCTATTATTATTGTCATTATCTTGATGGTATTATTATTTTATTATTGTTATTAATGTGATAGAACCCAGCTAGAGAACTGAAGAGTGGGATATGATAGAACTTTATAGGCAGTACTTAGACTTAGGTTTGTTTTGGAGATCTATGCACAGTCATATGATGATCACAGAGTGACTTTAGCTGCAGTAGGAAGATTTTGTAAAGAAGCACAAAAGTAATAAAAAAAGAAAGTTAGAATATTACAAATATAATGGGAACTGGACAAGGGATTTGGTGATGGGTATGGAGAAGAATGTGTAGTTATGAACCACATGGAATGAAATGGCTGTTCTTGTCAGTTGACTCAATGCTGTAGAGTGAAAAGACAGAGCTGTTAGAGAGTACTACCATTAGTTAAAGTGTTTGGAGGGCAGGTATGGTGGGAAAATTATTATGGAAGCTATACATATTTCCGCTTACCCACCCCTCACTTCATCACCACCAGATTTCACAATACTGGTCTGTCTTAGATAAAGATTATTTTATTTCAAGTAGCAGCTAGTGTGTATTGGTGTGAGGTATGTTAATCTTGCTATGCTGATATTTCAAAGTAGTTGAATGCTTCTATTTCTTTCCCTTTCTCTCTTCTAGGCTTGCTTGAGACACAGTTAAGCAGACATGACCAGATGCTAAGTGTTCATGATATTCGACTGGCTGACATGGACCTCCGATTCCAAGTCCTAGAAACTGCCAGCTACAATGGGGTGTTAATCTGGAAAATTCGAGATTATAAACGAAGGAAGCAAGAAGCTGTCATGGGCAAGACCTTGTCTCTGTACAGCCAGCCTTTCTATACTGGCTACTTCGGCTATAAGATGTGTGCTAGGGTTTACCTGAATGGGGATGGGATGGGAAAAGGAACTCACTTGTCTTTGTTCTTTGTCATAATGCGTGGAGAATATGATGCTTTGCTTCCTTGGCCCTTTAAGCAAAAAGTGACTCTCATGCTAATGGATCAGGGATCTTCTCGACGTCATTTAGGAGATGCTTTCAAACCTGACCCAAACAGCAGTAGTTTCAAGAAACCTACCGGAGAGATGAACATTGCATCTGGTTGCCCTGTCTTTGTGGCCCAAACTGTTCTAGAAAATGGGACGTATATTAAAGATGATACTATTTTTATTAAAGTCATAGTGGATACATCGGATCTGCCAGACCCCTGACAAGTGAATGGGGAAATGGATTTAAGCAACAGGTAACCCCACTGAGGGGTTTTGAACCAGTCTGTCTTCAATGAGGTCCTAAGCTCAGAAGAGGACCTTGTGGAACAGAAGGAAGAGTTTGAAGGCATATTGCATAGGGTCCAATGGTGAAGTAGTAACACATTAAGAAATCATACCTTGGTATATTTTCTAATAGAACTAGCATCCAGCTCTGAAGAATTATTTATCCTTCGTTGGGATAAATATTACTATCAGAGGGTTTTAATTTTTATTTTTGAAGATCTAGTTAATTGAGGTAGAAAGACATATATGCTAAGCAAAAAAACAAACAAACAAAACAGATACGATTTTTCTTCCTTAAACTAGAACACCAAAAAATTCACATGTGGGGATAGCTGGATATGTCAGCATGTTAAGTAAAAGAAGAAATGATGAAATCATAATGCAGTTCTGATATATTCATTCAAAAAAAAAAAAGCAAAGTGCAATCTTGTTTCAAATACAATATATTGTCTATTTTTAAGGCCTCACCTGGTCTCTGTTTTAATAATTTGTTTGTCAGAAGACCCTGAAGTACTCAGTCTCTAAAATTCAGAATCATTTTTTGATTTAAAGTTTTATTGATAATTATTAACACAAACATCTTATTTTAAAATGTTGATAGACTGATATTTCTTGGAAGAAAATGTAAAATTTCAAACACTGGTTATCACTTGTGATAGGAAAGAAAATACTCAATCTGTTGTTATTTCTCGTTAGAAATGTAAACCTACAATATATGTCGTAGTTAATGACACTACTTCAAAATTATTAAGAAAGAAAAATTGCTCATGGATGCCGTGCATCATTCTCAGATTTATAATTGTTTTCACCCTAAAATAGGGCATTTGTTGAACTCTGAAGTTCTAAACAAAAATCCTGTAGGTTTTTAAAGCTCTGCCCCATGTGTTCAAATGATCTCTCTATCGCTGATGACACAAATATTCAATCTCCAAGATGCTTGGTGTTCTGGGGGGTGGGAAAGGTGATTCATGCAGAAAGTGGTCACTTTAGATACGTTTATTCATTCTGTCACAATTGCTGCATTTTGTTAAAGATCTCAGAAAGCGAAGCCTTTACATTGAGATGGTGGCATAATGTACATGTGCCTTAGATGTGACATGCTGCTTCTATACCATAGATTTGTACTCAGTTAAATTAGAGAAAAATGATAGCTTAACCGGACTTTTCTGTTGTCATCTGTGGACTTTATCCATGTGAGGGCCCCTAAATGATTTCCTATACATGCTGACAAGAAGCCAAACTATCCTTTTGGCCTCTGGAGTTTCCATTGCTTGATTGTTGTGGATTCCAAATTTTCAGGCCCCAGCAGTTTTCCCACACTGCTCCTGTGGAGCCTGGACTTAGGGCTTTGATCCCATCCCCAAGGCTAATGTGGAGTAGAAAATTGTATCCTCTTCCATGCCCCTGCATGGTAGAGGAAAGCACAGATGCCTAAACGGACTCATCTGGGCTTTATCAAAATGTAAATTGCATCTCCCCTTAGGGATGACTTGTTGAGGCAGACTCATGAACCTCCCTATCATCCATCTCTTTTCTAGAGAAATGCTGAATAGGCTTCTATTGGCACAGCCTAAGCTTTCCCAGAAGGCTTTTTCTCAAACCCTGTTTACCTTCTTCTCTTAATGGTCTGACTGTGATTAGGAGTCTGATGACCTATCTCCTGTCTTTTACCTTTTACTATGCACCATGTTCTATGGGTGCTTCTTAACATCGATGGGTGCTAAACCTTGACGGGTGCTTCTTAGGCAAAACCAATGTGTATGAACTACCGCATCTGTGCCACGTTCAAGAGAATTTGCACCCCCACTATTGGCCAGTTGGGTGGTGCTCCTCAGACTGCCTGCCTCTTGGGCTATTTCTATAATCTGTAGCATGGGGACAGTTGGATTCATGCCTCTGTAGTTCACCTTGTCTCTGGTGCTATTGTCTGTCATGGGTGTGCCTTCACATACAGTGCCTGCAGGAAGGACTTTCCACTTACAAACAGTAATTCAACACATACCATAAGTATTCAGTGCATACCATAAGTGGTCTTCATTGGTTTTCCAAGCACCTGTTCCAGTACAACCTATTGTTTGAGTAGCACAAACACTCCATTTATTGTTTCTTGACTTCCTCTTCCTTTTATTCATCACCAGGATATTCCTTTTGGGGGTGGGGTGGGGGACACAAGTTAGTGCCATCGCCATCACGTAAGACCTATTTTGATTCATGTGTTTCTATCACTACTCATTGAGGAAGGACTTCCTGCAGAAGATCTGACAGCTGCAGTATTTTACAGGCTGCCCACCTAAAACCACTGTTACCTCGAAGGTATCCCCTGGGTGTGCCCTGGGTCTTGTTCAGGTGTGTGTTCTCCTAAGAGGCTTTTGGATACAGGCAGCCTGGCAGTTCTCATAATGGGCCTCAGGTCTCTTTACTGAGGCCATGGTCACTGATAGGGACTGCTCCCAAGGACTTTTTTTTTTTCCCAACACAGAAAACCACATATGATTGTCTGAAATTTTAAAAGAAATTCAAAAACATTTGTGGCCTTGCAAAGAAATCCCCTCCCTAGATTGAATCCTGGTTTGTGCTGGGGATTACCTCGAAGCATTACATGGAAGCATCCATTCCCTTTATGGTAGGACTTCTCCAAATAGACTTCCCAGACTAAAACTATTGGTTGAATAAGGTAGAAATTTTTTCCCTTGGCTTTCCAACATATGAAGCCCATAGTATTTAATTTCAGTAAAACTGTGAAATCTCATCTAGAGCAAGGAGGTGCTGTTATGTCTTATAGTCTTTCAGTAATTAGGTTAGTATTTATTGGAACTATTTTTTTCAGTATACCTTTTGGATGTTCTCTCTCTCAACTACACCAAACTTGTCAGAAAGCTTTTGAGTCTCTTACATACTCTATAGTATTTTCAGTTTTGCCACCAATAGTTGGCATAACTAGAATCTCTTCAAAAATATTATTTTTCTGTTTGTACTAGTGTTTCTAAATAGCCAGATGCTGTTCATTCCTATGAGGCAATGTTCTGCACTAGTGTAGTGGGAGAACTAAATCCCCCAACATTTTCAAAAGTCCTCAGGCTAGTAGGAGTTGAATGTTTCTATGTGTTAGATGCTCTGTGTGCGTGTGCACCTTCTTTACTATTACAGAGTGACAAATTTCCAACATAACAAAACTGCTCCAGTAATTAAAAACAAAGTTAAATATTTGTGCATGAATTAATCTACTTAATTTCTCTGATAAATTTCGTAATGGAAATAAGAACTTTTTTCCTGCCTCAATAACAGCTTTTGCAGTTTCTCCCTCCCATCTCTCTCTCTCTCTCTCTCTCTCTCTCTCTCTCTCTCTATATATATATATATATACGCACACATATATGTATGTATATGTGTGTGTGTGTGTGTGTGTATATATATATATGTACACATCCTCTCTCTCTCGATATAACTATGTTTATTCATGCAGTTGACAGTTATGAGGCAAGGAGCATCTGTATATTGGAACCATGCTGGAAAATCACTCACTGTGGATGATTTCACATGACCTATCCCTCATTTGATAGGAATTGTAGTGTTATCAACCATCATTAAATCCTGTCATTGCTGGCATGGCTTTTCATACTTAGTGGACTGGGACTTTTGTATGTATTGTTGGCCCACTCTTCCATACCAGCAGGTCTTGTTACCTAATTTGTGTGTGTAACAGAGAAACAGAAAATGTATCTAATATGTAGTGATGCAATTGCAATGCCTACTATTCACCTGTAATTTGTGAAGATTTACAACCCAATGAAGATCCAAACCAGTAGAACTTTTGCCTGGGATGTGACTGAAAAGTCTTTCAAACAAGACATGGAAGAGCTTTGTATCCTTCAGGATTTAAAGTGTTGAATAATATGAATGTTGGGGTGTCATTTAGTCATCAGCTGGGAAGTCGTACTGTCAATGGCCATAGTTTGAGACATCTTGTAAAGCTAAAAACCAGCTTCTGGGCTGGATACAATGAGATCACATTAGTCCTTTTTCATTTAAAAAAAAATTCCCATGTTCATGTATATGACTGATAGAGACTAAAATAAATTCATGTAAATTAAATAATTGGGTTAAAGGTGTCCAATAAGAAAGTGACAGTGCGCTCCCAGTTGTTGAGATTCAATGGCACTCTTATAGTTTTAATGCCTTGATAAATGTTAACTATGCAAGCAAAGTAGGCCAAGAAGAGGTCTTCTGTTTTAATGGCTAATGTTCATAACCTCAATCTAGTTAGTAGTCCATCCCCAGGATAGATGCCCTGTGATTGATTCTTCTTCAGAAACATGGAGTATAGAAATCTGAGACTATGAAAAACACCTCTCTGAGGCCCGTGTCGCCATATACCAAATCAACCAGATAAACAGTAAGTCAGTCAAACAGATAAGTTATGTAGGAACTATTTTTGATCGTCATGTATAGTGGAGTGGAGATAATGCTGGACCAGAAGTGAAAAGACCTGGATCTGCCTCTTGCTGGCTGTGAGACTGGCAAATCTCTTCCTCTGTCTATACTGTGGTTTCCTCATCTATCAAGTGAGGAATGCTGGATGACCTCTGTGGTCTCTTCTAGCTCTAACATTCTGTGATTTTACTGAGCTGATTTGGGTGTTTTTGTCATTAACACCACTACCAAACTGACCAGTTTTTTAACTAAATTGGCCAAATCATCTGATGATTTCGACATTGTGCAAACACAAGCCAAATGAATATCTTTGGAGAGATACGGGCATCTCATAATGATGTCAAGGAAACCATTAGGCAGTACCTACTTTTGGCTTTTCACTGTCCATATAGGAAAACCTAGGAAGGGAAAAAGCACTGATCTGCCTTGTTTCTAATCTCTAAGGCTTCTCCCCAGTCTGAGTCACAGAGTGGTGGCCAGTTATTGGGGTTACCACTCATAGAGCTCAGTGAAGGGGGAAAAAGCTGTAAGAGCTATAAACCACACACTGAGACTTTGGTCCACTTCTTCTTCCTGAAAGAGTACTGAAGACAGCCAACCTAACTGCATTGAGACATGTTCAAAACAGTGAGACTGACAACTATATTCTTTAACAGGCAAGATGTACATATGAGAGGAGCCCTTGCTTCTAGCCCCCATTTTTTAACATATTAGGAAGTGAAACCGAATAGTGAACCACAAGGAATACGGTGCATGATTCCTCCTGGTTGTGGTTCCTGACTTATCCTGAGGTAGAATTTCCTGGCAGAGTGATTCAGCCACACAGGTGGCTCATTAAATTAGTGAAAACAAGAATTAAGAGCATTTTCAATTCTGACGCTGGGGCTTTTAAATTTAACTCTTGCCTGTTTAAAATACGTCTCATTGCTTGGATAACATCTGTACTTCAAAGGACCTGTGATTTCATCAGTGTGGGTGCTCCTACTACCAAGGCAGATCAGAACCCTTCCAGCTAGCAATGCTGTTTCATGAGTTGCTCTGGCTGGGGAGAAAAAAAACACAACAATTCCTCCCCACCTGGTAGTCAATCTTCTGATGATGAAGCTCTCTGAACTTAACCAGTCTGGTCTTCAAATGACAGACACACAGTCTCATACTGACAGTCTGTTCTCTAGGCCTTCCAGTTTGGTATTTCCTACCAGAGTTTGGCACTTGGCATAACTTTTGAGAACTCAGAGTGACCTCCATGTCACAATAAGGCACCAGATGGGGCTCTAATGGAGGGAGGTGAAACATTAAAATGTTGAAAAGGGCTGAACTATAGCTGTAAAACAATATTTTTTTAACATGTAGTCCAGATCTTTTAGTCCTTAGATTATCAGGAGGAGGAAAATTCAGGGAACTCACTTAAAACGTGTAGCAGTTATGAAATGAATGTGGGATCTGTTCTCCAAATCTCTTATTTCTTGACCCATGATTGTAGTTTTTGTCTTCCATTTCAAAAGCTGTAATATCTTGCATGCAGTTTTCTCCAGAGTAGGGTTAATTTGTTAGGGTTTAAGTCAGGTGAATTTCAGTTGAGAGTTTGATCTTTGGAAATACTGAATATGTTGGCTATCTCACTTTTGTTGGTTATGACGGCAGCATTCATCTCTAGTAATTTATTAAGCACCTCTGCTGTGCAAGACACTGTGCTAGATGTTAGGGATACAAAGATGGATGTAACGTAAATGTTCCCAAGGAGTTTATGGTCTAATGGGGAAGAAAGGCAAGTCCACAAATAACTTATGCTAGGAAGAGTCAGATGTGTGCAAAGAAAAGTTCTAAGCACAGAGAAATTTGAGATGGAGAGTTCCCTTTAGGAAAGAAGGATGTCCAGGAATGCTTCTTGGAGGAAATAGTATTTCTGGGGATTTGTCTTTTTCTTAGGCTATAAGCTCATATGGGATTAGGGCTCTGTCCTGGTCATTGTTGTGTGTCTCATGACTCCTTAGTACAGTGCCTTGCACACAGAGCACTGAATAAATATTTATTGAATTTTAAAAAGGTCTTTGTCATACATTATTACACCACCAGATTTTTAAAGGATTTTTTAAATGTCATAAGTGAAGAAAAATAGAAGCATCAGAACAATAATAAATTGAGGCTCTTATTAAGATCAGTAAAGGCCAGCAAGAATTTCTAGGTAACTCTTCTCCTTCGTTGAATGTGATATGACTTGAATTTCAGTACAGGATTGAAAAGGCAGATTCTCCAACTATGACCTGCACCCTTGGCAGAGAGTTGCTCAATCTGGTTTGGGAGAACAACAGAATGGGTTCAAATGTCCATAACTGCTGAGGTACCATGCAGCTCATTTTATCTCCTTCATTGCTGCTATATTTTGAGTATATTGTTTTCACTGTCTTGGTGAAAAAAAAAAGAGAGAGGTTAAACTTCAGAATTTCTTTAATTGTGGCATCAGACTCCAAGAATTAGCAGTGGTTGATATCAGATCTTGTTGATTGATTGATCTTATTCCCCTTGGACAAGTAGGATAACCTTTAACAACAAATGAAGTGACTTTTAATTGGAAAACATAAAAATGGACATTATTTCCAAGGACTTCTGTAAGAAATATCTGTGGAAGAACATCAGTGATAAAAAACCATATGTAAATCGATGTAAAAAATTGTGTAATATTTTTGGAATTGCATTGACTTCACCAATGGTACACTTGTTGTGTTCAGTTCTATTATCCAAAAACAAAGACCAAAGAAGGCCAATCTCATTTGACTGTGTATTTTTAATCTGCCTGTTTTAAAGATGATCATATGTAGTAACCATTAGCTATAAGGATACTTTTTTGGCAGTACAAGTGATCTGGTAACCAGTGGTTTATGTACTGTGTTTCTCTGCTCTTCTAGGTTTAAAAGCAAACAAAAAACAAAAACAAAAAAACAAAAAAAAGAGACAATATAATTTATTGCTTAGCAATAACCACGTTGTTAATAGTTATTAACAACATGTTTTAATTTTCCAATAGCATTATTATGTTTTGTATTTCTGTTTATTGTATATTGTGTGTGGTTTTATTTGGTATTTATTTGTGTTTTGAGGTCTTGCAATGTCTTTTGTGTTTTTAATGCTAAGTAAAGTGTATGAGTGTAGAATGCAAAACTTCAAAATGCTAAATTGTCTGTTATTAGAGAAAAAATAAATCTTAATAAGGAATTCTCACTTTTTGTATAAAAACATCCCAGAAATGTAAATGAGCCAATGTCTTGGAGTTTGTTGTCTGGAATACAATGCTCATAGGAGAACAGCTTTTCAACTATGAGTGAGCCTGGTGGCTCATAAGGCAACTCTCCCCAAATCAGATTGTGTATTGCTGGACTCTCCTAAGGAGACTAGATCTCTGCTTTATAAATCCTAGCTGATGGTATGGCATTCATTGCATTCATAAATTAGCAGTTCATTCAGATATTAAGATGATTCCCACACAAATAGAAAGCTAGAGTCTTCAACTGTCTCTTACACTTGGGATTGGATCTTAAAATCTTGACTCTTTTATGAAGTTTTTCCTCCAGAAAGTTTATGAAGCTAGTAATATTCATGCCATCCTTGTGAGATCACTAAAAGCATTTCAAAGACATAGCCAGCACCATATGCCAGCCTTCCAAACCAGACTGACAAAGAACCTCCTGCTTTAGCTACACCCACTTCTCTGACTTCCACTGGGGGTCATTACCTTGTAGGGAATAGTCTTTCTTGTTCTTTAACTCTTACAACTTCAGTTTATAGCAACAAAAAGAATTAAATCTTGAAATGAATACGTGAAATTGAGGCCTCCTAAAGAAAAGAATATGAATAATCATTGAATTTGCCCTTCTCTGTGTCTTGGATATTTTCAAATTTGTAATAAT